TAGTGGTGATATTAAATTCTTTTAGTTTCAACGAGCCTTTGTTTCATTCAGCCTTGTGTTGTAACCCGTTTGTGGTTGTTTGTCTTATATGTTGCGCAACGCATCGGATCACCCGAAAGGCGTGTCCGTGTGTTCACAACAGTAGTTAGCTGATAGTTATTAGGTAATCTTCTTCTTCTTCTTCTTCGTTCTTAATTTTTAGTGTTGGGAGGGATCGAGCCTTATCTGCCAGAGGGTTTGAACTCGAGACTTTTTTTTTTTTCGAATTAATCAACCATGAGCTTTGCCGACTCGACCACGCCTCCAACACAATTAAGCGTTACGTGTCAACTGGTTATGCGACATTGAGGCCATTGACTCCGATTTCAGCCTGCTTTTCTTTTTGGATTTGCTTCCATAGCCTTTGTCCAACCAAGAACAAACTACAAGGCAGCAGTTGTTTGATTTTGGAGTTGTCTCTCCTAGAAGAGTGGCTGTCCCCCAGCTAACGAGCCTCATCTGCCCGAGGGTTCGAACTCGAGACTTTTCTGATTGTCGTGTCGTAAACTAACGTTTATGTAGTCATCCGACAGTCGTGTTCATATCTTATGTTGTTGTGTAGTAATCTGACGTGTATTAATCTGACTGTCGTGTAGTAATTTGATTGTTGTAGTGACGCTAGTTCAATGCTCATGCAGGAGGCCATCGTGGACAGCAACATTGTGTCTTACAGCAGACATCTTGGCGCCGAGAAGTTTCTGGTGGTTTTAAACTTTGGTCAGCAGACGACAGTGGACATGACGTCATTTGGCGGGCTAATGGCTCGGACAGTGGTCACGTCACCAGGTATAAAACATAGATTATATACGTTATAATGCAAAACTATGTTATACTATTACAACCGTGTTTGATTATGAAAATACCACTTAGATGACGAAACTAATTGATGACCTTGTTCATTTTGTTACAGGTGTGAAGGAGGTCAAGGTGGGTCAGCAGGTCGACCTTTCGCGTGTTGACCTCGATGCTGGAGATGGGATTATCTTTCAAGTTTCTACTGATTCTGTTATTGTAGGATAGGTCATTTTAGGGATAGGTCATTTTGGGATAAGTCATTTTGGGATGGGTCATTGTAGGATAGGTCATTGTAGGATAGATCATTGTAGGATAGGTCATTGTAGGATAGATCATTGAAGGATAGATCATTGTGGTATAGGTCATTATAGGATAGGTCATTAGAGGATAGGTCATTGTAGGATAGATCATTGAAGGATAGATCATTGTGGTATAGTTCAGTGTACGGTAGGGAGGCGGACACTGGTAAATGTACTTTGGGAGGTCCTCCCCCCTCCACCAACCCCCCCCCCCCCCCCCAACCCGAAGAGATGCCTAAAAGAAACTCTGGTAGCCAACTATATTTTGTTATATTAAACTTACTAAACTGTTTGTTGTATTCAACTGTTTTGTTGTATTAAGCTTATTAAACTGTTTTGTTTTGAAATAGAAAAACTGTCTTAATTTGATTAGATGTTGATTAACCCTGTCAGAGAATCCTCTCCTAGTTTGTTCAGATCTCCCATGGCTCTACCATGTAACATACTCGACTGGTAGTTCAATCGGTGTTAACTCTTGAAGTTCGGCAATCGGAGTGATCTCCCTTATAAGGTCAGGTCAGACTTGTTGCAGTTTCACGTGCATGGTATAGGGCTGGTAAGTAGGTCACCAACCAGTTCTATGGCTCATGCAGGTTTTATTGAGCCGTAGAACTGGTTGGTGACCTACTTACCAGCCCTATAGTAGCAACCCTGACATCATTTGAAAACGGGCTAAAAACAGAAACGTGGCTCGTATTAAGATTTATTAGTCGAGCACCTGACGGTTTGGATGATCGTTTTATCGAATCCGCACAAATCACTACATCCTAACCCAACAGGATCGTCCTCCAATTCGCGTCTAGGCATACCGTGACGTTTAGACACAATCTTTCAATGTTGCCAAAAACTGTGTGGCCAAATATTTTTTTGCTTGGTCATTTCGCTTACACGCTAACTACACTGTTGTAAGTTGATAAAAACCTAGTTGAAGCGTCCGTTGCATTTGTAATTGTCTTTAATTTGTGAAATTTCTAAAACTAGCTGTTTTTATTATCACAAGTAATCGGTTTAGTTTTTCTTGTTAAAATTAGCCATCACGTGACATGCTATGTAACTATAAATAACTCAAAAAAAAATCTTTTACAACAAGTGTTATAACAACTCGAGACACAAATTTTTATCGTTTTTTTTTATTGTCGAGTAGGACACATGTCTAAATGAAGTTAAATGAAATTAAAATACACAGAACTGTCTCTTGTCGATACGCTGACTTAAAAAAAATTCTTTCATTTTTCTCCGAGATTTTTGGTGGCTTTTTTCGACGACAAGTTGACACAATTAAAAAAACAAAACATGTTGTCAATAGTATGTCAATGAGTCAAGAAACGAGAGACATGGGGTTCATCAAACTCTCGTAGTCCGGACAAAATTCCGGTGGTTGTCCGGAGATCTAGTCCAACCTATCACAGACTCGCAGAATGGGGTTCGTGTCCCCCGTGCAGTTGGCCGAGGCGATAGCTCTCAAGAGTTGGGCGACGCAAGCCCTTTCTTCCGAGTTAGAGTCAGAGTCAGAGCCGAAGTCTATGTCCCACTGGCACAGACAGACCGACGCCAGGACGGCCAGGAGAAGCAGAAGAGCTGAGAGACGATTCATTGTCTGGTGAGGTTGGTGGTTTTTTCACGCTACAGAAATGGAAACAAAATGTAGTAGGAAAAAAATATAGTAAAAAAATAATTATTATTGACATGATTTTGTTGCCGCTTCCAAATATGGTTGGAATTTTAAAATTTTTACTAAGTCAACATTTTTTAATAAATATTTTATTTAACATCCCTCTTCTTAATCTTATAATTATAAATGTATTTTAATTTATATTCTTTGAAAGTTCAATTTAATATTTTTATACAATTTTTATACAATTGTCAAGGTATTCAAACATCCACGGTGATTATTTTTGTCGTTGTAGTATTATTACTTATGTTATAAATTATATATATATATATATATATATATATATATATATATATATATATATATATATATATATATATATATATATATATATATATATATAAACCAAGCCTAACCCACATCTTAAGGTTAACTAATTAAACCCTAACGAAAGTCCAAATATAAAAATCCCTTTAACTCTAAGTCTCAACAGTATTTCAATAGTACTTAGTATATGACCAACACAACAGCACAACACTTGAACACTTAGCAACACCTACCTGGTATAACGTGGGTACCTTGTGATAAGACCACTACGACAACACAACAATTGAACACATAAACACCTACCTGGTATAATATGGGTATCTGGTGACAAGACCTACACGACAACACAACACTTCAACACTTGAACAAATAAACACCTACCTGGTGTACGACTGTTATCTAGTGATATTGAGTGACCAGACCAGCGAATGGCCTGCCTTATATAGCACTCCACAAAAAGTACTTCATCAGTTTAACTTATCGACTGAACCAAATATCAGCAGTCATAGTTGCAATAAACAGGAATCAAATCAAGGAAAAACTGTCAATAACAGGAAATGATTAATACAAATCTGTTTTTTTATCGACAATAACAACGCCTTGTTAAATAATGCGCAGAGGCGGGACAGTGAATCGTTTGATGTTCATGGATGGTTGTCTTAAGGTCGGAGTGAGCACATAAAATTTAACATAAAGTTTTTTAATCAAACGAAGTACCTGTTTGAGAGTTATTTAGACATTTTCTAAAGTTTTTTTTTCTAAATTTGTTTCTAACCTAAACGTTCTAGATTCAATATTTAGACATTTTGTAAAGATTTTTTTCTAAATTTGTTTTTAACGTAAACTTTTTAGATTCAATATTTAGACATTTTTATGTTTGTTATCGTCATATTTAAGTTGGTTTTAAGATAATTAAGTAAATAATCTTAAAGACATCGATTAAAATGTTGAACCTCTTTAAAAATTCAATATTCAGACATTGTTAAGGTTCATTGTTAAAGTAGTTGTTTAGCTTCATTCGTTTGGTTTAGGTTTGTGTTTTAGACATTTACAAATAACCTAAGGGGTTTATACTCAGAACATATATACCTGTCACTAAGGTTTTAATTCCAAGTACCACTGACCCCACCCCCCCCTCCATCACGATAATGCATACTAACCCAGCCTAAAATCAAAGCCCCACCCTTGACTTAACTAACCCCCACCACCACTTTATGAGCTGTCATTTAGCTAAATCTGTCCGTTGGTTGTCACAAAAATATCATCTCATGTCCTGACGTTCGTTTCCTGAGTTTCATTGCGACTCCAATCAAGCGTGACCATTGATGACACGGTTGTCTTTCATCCTCCGGGGGAAACGTTTTGTTATCGTCGATAAATGTTGACTAATTGAACGGGGTACAACAATAGTATCAAAGTAACATGTGGTACGACATCCGTTACTACCATCCCCCCCCCCCACCCATAATTCACCACTATAGAAAAGTACAACAACACTCTGATGTAAAGAAGTGACAACGCACACACTGACTCACAAACATATCGTAATTAAAGTCCGTCATCCGTGCTATTTAGCTAACCAGGACAGCCACGTAGTTTACTAGTCTAAAACCTGTGTAGACAATACGACAGACATACGAGGCAGACAGTTAGACAGACAACACGACAGACATATGAGGCAGACAGTTGAACAGACAACAATTTTTTGGTCAAGCTTCGTAAGCCATTCGGTTTTTTAATAGTTATGACAAACACGCAAACATAAACTGTCTAATTCATCCCTCTTAGGGTAAATTAAAGAGCAAATTTGAATTGGTATAGATGCATGTACTGTTCAAAGTCTGTCGTTTATTCTATTAATTAAAGGTAGACAAACAACTAATATAAACGAACGTCACAAACTAGTTTTTAATTAACAACCAGACAAGTATTCGATTAGATTTTTATCTGGTAATCGATTACAGGATTGAAAAACTTATTTATTAAAAAAATATTAGACTTGTATTCACTTTAAAATATTACAAAATATAGCTATTTGATATGTAATCAACAAAAACTAGACAGTTGTGAGACAATTTTATCCAAACACAAAAAAAAAAAAAAAAAAAAAAAACTAGACAAAACTTCGATAAACAAATTTCTTTGTTCCATGTAAAAATAAACCAAATGTGAGTTAATTAAAGAGGTAATTATTAAAAATTATTCAGGTATTCTGTAAAGTTCCAGGGTGCCATCCTCCCCTTGCAGGTATGACGTCATCAAGCAGCTGTCGTCCAGCTCCGTCCTCTCCTTGCCCTGGATCCAGAACAGACGGTGGGCCTCGGGGTTTCGTAGACTTCTGATAGCCAGGAGAAAACTTTTCACCTGCAAGTATTTGGTTCGATAGTTTACCTGGGGTCAGTGTGTGGGTAGACAAGTGGGCAGACAGGTGGGTTGACAGGTGGACAGACAGGTGGTTAGACAGGTGGGTAGGCAGGTGGGTGGACAGGTGGACAGACAGGTGGGTTGACAGGTGGGTAGACAGGTGGGTAGACAGGTGGACAGACAGGTGGACAGACAGGTGGACAAATAGGTGGACAGACAGGTGGACAAATAGGTGGACAAACAGGTAGACAAATAGGTGGACAAACAGGTAGAAAAATAGGTGGACAGACAGTTGGACAAATAGGTTGACAGACAGGTGGACAAATAGGTGGACAGACAGGTGGACAAATAGATGGACAGACAGGTGGACAAATAGGTGGACAGACAGGTGGACAAATAGGTGGACAAATAGGTGGACAGACAGGTGGACAAATAGGTGGACAGACAGGTGGACAAATAGGTGGACAGACAGATGGACAAATAGGTGGACAAACAGGTAGAAAAATAGGTGGACAGACAGTTGGACAAATAGGTTGACAGACAGGTGGACAAATAGGTGGACAAATAGGTGGACAAATAGGTGGACAGACAGGTGGACAAATAGGTGGACAAATAGGTGGACAGACAGGTGGACAGACAGGTGGACAAATAGGTGGACAAATAGGTGACAGACAGGTGGACAAATAGGTGGACAGACAGGTGGACAAATAGGTGACAGACAGGTGGACAAATAGGTGGACAAATAGGTGACAGACAGGTGGACAAATAGGTGGACAGACAGGTGGACAAATAGGTGACAGACAGGTGGACAAATTGGTGGACAGACAGGTGGACAGACAGGTGGACAAATAGGTGGACAGACAGGTGGACAAATAGGTGGACAGACAGGTGGACAAATAGGTGGACAGAGAGTCGACCTCGAGCCTCAAGGATTTGAAGCGCACATTCGACGAATCCTCAGAAACTAATAACATAATACATATGTAGGAGTAGCTTTTGACTAATTTGCGACTGACTTGTGACTAACTGGACACTTGACGTTACTGACTTGTGACTAACTAGACACTTCACGTCACAGACTTGTGACGAACTAAACACTTCACGTCACTGACTAGTGACTAACTAGACACATCACACCACTGACTTGTGACTAACTGGCCACTTCACGTTACTGACTTGTGACTAACTAGACACATCACACCACTGACTTGTGACTAATGTTGGTGACTATTTACCTTGAACACGGTGATATCAACCCCGTCCCTATCTGTGATGGGCACTTTCTTCAACACAGTCTCTGATTCCCCTGGGTACAAGACTTTCAGGTCGATGCCATCTTCGTACACCTCTGTGGGATAGATATGTGGTGGTTAGACAGGTGGTTAGACAGGTGGTGGTTAGACAGGTAGTGGTTAGACAAGTAATGGTTAGACAGGTGGACACGCGGCCACATGTAGTGGTTAGAAAGGTGGACAGACAGGTAGTGGTTAGACAGGTAGTGGTTAGACAGGTAGTGGTTAGACAGGTAGTGTTGAGACAGGTGGACAGTCATTATTAATCTAAAATAGGTAGATAGGTCCCTTCAAATACAGCGAACGCTTACCTGATATATTAGTTCCCAAGTTCGCCATCTTCAAAATTTCTGATGAGAAAAATTAAGATTGGGTTAAAACTTGTTTTAATACTTTTGTTTATCTTTCATGTTACATCCATACAATACTAGATTACTATGGAATGGTATAAAACATTTAATCAAACAATTTTTTAATCATTATCTTGGCTTATGGCTAAGTTTATTCATAAGTTTAATATGTAGGAAAACAAAAATACGACACAGATTTTACCAATAGCTTTTTAAAAATGTTAGAATAACATATTTTATATACATATAGACTAGGAGTTTTATAATACTTGTCTAGATCTATATTATTTAATATCGGAAAATTCCGTTCCTGGATCTCGTAATTCCTTAATACTTGACCCCAAAAATCGTTAAGTATATTAGCTGTTTTTCATAATTTTTTTTTATTTAATAGACTACAATATATAAAATAGTAAGAACAATGTTACTTAAAATTAATTTGTAAATTATGATTTAAATGAAATACTCTAAACTCAAAACCTTTGTTTTCTATTTATGGACTTCGGAAATTCCGGAAACTAACCAATACTTTTTATTGAATCGAAGAAATCTCAGAGATTAAATTATTAATTCGCCAACACTGCCGAAATTTTATTAGTTTTCTTCGAGATGGCCAAAAGTTCTATATTTTTATACTTCAATTTTGACGATATAATTGACGATATAATTGTAACAAGAAAATGCTTTTTACTTAAAAATTTATGTAGGTTATATTTTTCAAACAAGTCAGAATATCAAACAGTCAACTTCGTGAAGTGAACGACAAGACTGTTTTTATTTGACTGCGAAAAATTTAAATAAATAAAAATAACCTATCAGTTTTAGCACATTTAATGTTAAGTCATAGTTTTTGTCTTGGTTTAATTTAGTCAAAAAATAATTTCAGATTCTTCTTCTTACTTGCTTTTTTTAGCATAGGCTTTTTCCAACAACCCATAATACTTTTTTGTCTCTAGCTATATTTTCAGATTATGACACGTTTAATCTGAAGTTTTTGACTTTTGACAAGTGTAATATATTGTCGTAATTTTAACTGTACACAAGTGTAATATTGTCAATTATTAGTTTCAGTATTTGACAAAAACATTGACAAGTCTTGAAGTCTTAGTTACTTCCAAAGATATATTATACGTTGTCAACTCTCCGTTTCACACTTTGACATGTTGAACATTGTCAAGTTGTTACAACGTTTGGTACGTGATGTGTTTAAACTTTCGATAAGTTCACTATAGCCCAATATTGGCAAGTTTGGTGCCGCAAAGACTAAGCTAATGCACTGATAAAAGCACTTAGCACAGAGACTCATGACAAAACCCACTCCTTGTGGTGGCTTATGCTCACCCCCCCCTGCCCCATTCTCATATACAACAACACAACACTTTTTAATATCAAATACTTTAATTCAGCGTTACCATACATAACATGCAAGCAATATTTGACACCAATTCTTGTCACATCAAGCAATATTTAATATCAGTTTTTGCATATTCAAGCTTTATTTATTATCAATTGTTGCAAATTCAAACTTTATTTAATATCAATTGTTGCATATTCAAGCTTTATTTAATATCAATTGTTGTATACTTAAGCACTATTTAATCTCAGTTGTTGTATATTTAAGCATTATTTAATCTCAGTTGTTGTATATTTAAGCATTATTTAATGTCAGTTGTTGTATATTTAAGCGCTATTTAATCCCAGTTGTTGTATATTCAAGCACTATGTAACCATGCAACAAATCTCTTAAAAGAAATATTTAACAGCTCGTGTGCAGTCAAGCGCGACGAATCTCCAGGTAACCTCCCGCCCCCTTCATGACGTCACTGATGGGGTTGGCATCGTTCAGCTCCACCTCCACCCCCGAGGGTCGCACCCAGATGAGTTTGTACCTCTCCGGGTTTGGGATACCTTCTGTTTCCAGCAGGAACTTTTTCGCCTGCAATAAATGGCACCGGTCAATGTTGATATACTTGTGATGTCAGTATAGTCAATGTTGATATACTTATGATGTCAGTATAGTCAATGTTGATATACTTATGGTGTCAGTATAGTCAATGTTGATATACTTATGATGTCATATAGTCAATGTTGATATACTTATGGTGTCAGTATAGTCAATGTTGATATACTTATGATGTCATATAGTCAATGTTGATATACTTATAATGTCAGTATAGTCAATGTTGATATACTTATGATGTCAGTATAGTCAATGTTGATATACTTGTGATGTCAGTATAGTCAATGTTGATACACCTGTCATATAGTCAATGTTGATATACTTATGATGTCAGTATAGTGAATGTTGATACACCTGCTATATAGTCAATGTTGATACACCTGTCATATAGTCAATGTTGATATACTTATGATGTCAGTATAGTCAATGTTGATATACTTATGATGGCAGTATAGTCAATGTTGATATACTTGTGATGTCAATATAGTCAATGTTGATACACATGTCATATGGTAAATGTTGATACAAATGTCATTTAGGTTGATACACCTGTCATATAGTCAATGCTGATACACCTGGCATATAGTCAATGTTGATACACATGTCATATAGGTTGATACACCTGTGTTATAGTCAATGTTGATACACCTGTCATTATAGTCGATGTTGATACACCTGTCATATAGGTTGATACACCTGTGTTATAGTCAATGTTGATACACCTGTCATATAGGTTGATACACCTGTCATATAGGTTGATACACCTGTGTTATAGTCAATGTTGATACACCTGTCATTATAGTCGATGTTGATACACCTGTCATTATAGTCGATGTTGATACACCTGTCATATAGGTTGATACACCTGTGTTATAGTCAATGTTGATACACCTGTCATTATAGTCGATGTTGATACACCTGTCATATAGGTTGATACACCTGTCATATAGTCAATGTTGATACACCTGTCATTATAGTCGATGTTGATACACCTGTCATATAGGTTGATACACCTGTGTTATAGTCAATGTTGATACACCTGTCATTATAGTCGATGTTGATACACCTGTCATATAGTCAATGTTGATACACTAATGTCGTGAGTACAACGGTCTAGCATGACCTTGAACCAAGGTCACACACGAGCACACTGCCAGCCCTACCGACTCATGGGTCTGCTCCTCCCCATCCTCGTCCACATAGGGAATTCTTTTGTTGACCAGCTCAGGACTCCCAGGATACAGCACACCTATCACCACACCGTCGTTGTCTACCTCTGTGGACAGGGGTGGGGGTGGGGGCAGCAGTGATGGGGATACTAGACACTAACTACACTTAACAAAGATCACACTGTAACAAAGATCACACTGTAACAAAGATCACACTATTATAAATATCACATTATTAAAAAGATCAAACTGTAACAAACATCACACTATTACAAAGGTTACACTAATGCAAAGATCACACTATCACAAAGATAACACTATAAATACACATTCAACAAAAACACATTTAACAAATAAAACATTAAACAAAGATCAATCCCCAACAAAGATCACACTTAACAAACAAGATCGCAATACACCAAAAACAAATTTAACAAAAACAAATTTAACAAAGATCTAACTATAATAAAGATCACTCTCCAACAAAGATCACATTGAAAAATATCGTGACAAGTATGCTATTCCGTAACAAGAATTATACTGCAAACACATAATTATGTGTCTAAAAGTGTGTATGATTTCGTTGTATGATGTGTTAATTTTGTGTGTAAGTTCGAGTGTTTGTGAGTATATCTGTATGTGTATATGTTAACGTATGTGTATAGTTACCTAAACTGTTCCCATCTGAATCCGTCATTTTCTTATTTAAATCTGAAATAAAATTTGGAAATAAAAATTTAAAAAATACAAATATAGGACACATCAAATCTACAGGGATTTAATATAAAGATAAGCTTTATATGGCTGAAAAATATCTGGGCAACAAGTCCAGCTTAAACAGTATCTGGCTTAACAATCACTGGACAATATATACACTTTGAACAGTATCTGGTTGAGCAATATCTTGTTAAACCATATATGTGTAAACATTCTGCTTAAAATATCTGTTTAAACAATTTCTGGTTAACCTATATCTGTTTAAAAGCAGTACCTACTTAGACTGTTTAATTTAAAAAATATCTAGCTAGACCAGGGGTCGGCAACCTGCGGCTCGCGAGCCGCATGCGGCTCTTTTGATATCAAGATGCGGCTCTCCAGCTCCTTGCAAAAATATTAATAATCTTAATAAAAAAATAAAATATTTGGATTAAAAAAAAATTATAGTGGCTCTTTAAAACCAGGGAAATTTTGAAAATTGTAACTTTTGGCTCTTCCGCTTCAAAAGGTTGCCGACCCCTGAGCTAGACTATAAGAAGTTCAACTATACATGTAACACCTTTGTGTTAGAGACTACTTGATTGAACTATACCCCATCATACCCCGATTGTAGGAAAAAAAGTCACAGGAAAAAAAAACACAGGAAGAAAAAACACAGGAATTAAGTCACAGGAAAAAAGTCACAGGAAAAAAGTCACAGGAAAAAAAGTCACAAATATATATTTGCATGGAATTTGTTAATACTTTTATGTATTAAATATTCAGAGAGTGCAAATTAACTTAGGATTAATTAATTAAAAATGTAATGTCGTGTGTGTAGGTTGTATACGCATAGTAATTTTTATAATTCATCTGAAAATATTTAATATGAAGTATGTAGATTGTAATTATGTTAAACATGATATTAATAGCATTTATTTTAATAGAATGCTCCAAAGTCCGTGTTTCATCGTGGTTTTTTTTTTTAAATACTAACATCTGACTTGCTGTCCTCAACACATCGCAACAATAGATATGCTTAGTTCAACCACCTTTACTGCCCACATTTATCACGCTCATTACATGATATTTACATAACAACGCGTAGGATCAAAACAGAAAGCCGACAAAGTTCAAAGGCTGTCATTGACACAAAACGTTAACAGCACAAAATATGTTCGGACAATGCTTACTGAGGAGAGGCCGACCAGAGAATACCCTACGGCAAAACATATACAAAACACAATGATGTGCTTAAATTTCTTTTATAATTAACTTTTCTACCGCGTATTTAACTAAATACGCAACAAAAGTTGAGATTGTTGTGTTAATTATCTTAGAGTATTTTTTCATACAATTGTTATAAACCATAATGCTTTTAACGTCTATAAATAATTTATGCTATCAAAAAATACAACCCACAACAATAAACATACAAAATTTTACAATTATTAACAAATAAATCAAAATACTTTTAAAAAGATTTTTGTGACTTTTTTTCTACGACTTTTTTGCTGTGACTTTTTTTCCTAGCAAAAACTGTGACTTTTTTCCTGTGACTTTTTTCCATTCACCCACTCCCCACCTTTGTTATCTTCTCAGACAACATGATGTCACTGTGCCATGTCGGGGCTTGTTACAGCTGTATAATAGAAATTAGATTGGCTATTTAACCGCTAATTGTGTTGACGTAATTATCTTTACCATGTATTTAACACATATGCCATTTGAATTACTTTAATTGTATATGATAAGAAATAAATAAAAGAAACGTACACCTTCCTTGAATTTAGCCGACTAAATGACTGCCAAAATTAACTGAAAATATACTTACTGTCAGTTCGGGAAATTCCGTTACTAATTGTCGTATTTTAAGAAATGAGAAACGGTAATATAATTTTTTAAAGTTATCGATTAGATTAAAAAAAAACTTAAACTTTGTCATCAACTTCAAGTCAATTAATTAATTGAATCTGTAAAAATAATTGTGTGCATAGATCTATTTGATTTTCCCACAGGTCTTCAAAATATGAAAAGGAAAAAAAAGGACAGAGACAAATTATTTTCGCATTTTTACAAGCTTTTATTTAACTCACTTCCTCTGTAAAGATTTGTGTTCTATGATGTTTTCAGCTAATTGTGGCAATTTTTGGATTGTAACTAACACATCAGTAAATGTGACACGTATAGTAAAACTAATCATATTATTAAAGCAAAACTGTTTTTCAAATTGTGTATCATATATTTGTTGCTACACTATATTGTCTTAACATGCGTATAAATCGTTAATACTAAAAAGTATAAAAATAATAAATACATAAAAACGTTCATAATTACAAACTTTTAAAAATGCACTAAAAAGAGGATATTAATACAATTTTTATTAACAATAAAATAATTTTTAAAAATATAATAAATCTGCGGTTAATTTAAATATAAAAAAATACTTTCTTTAAATATAATAATAAGTATTTAAACAAGCGGCCCACGCTTTTATTTATAGTAATATAATTAGTAGTGCATTAATATATTTAAAGAAAGTAATTATTTTATATTTAAAGTAACCGCAGATTTATTATATTTTTAAAAATTATTTTTTATTTAATAAAAATTGTATTATTTTCTTCTTTTTATTGCATTTATAAAAGCTTGTAATTATAAACGTTTATGTATTTATTATTACATTTCGTTTAAATTCTATCAGTCAGTCAATCATCCCTAAACCCAACGGGGTAGTTGGGCCACCACAGTTGATTTTTAAATAATTTTCTGTCGTCTGTCTCGGTCTTCTGCTGCTATGGTCAGCCCAGTCCAATCTCTGCTGCTCTGAGTAGTTCTGCTATGGTCAGCCCAGTCCAATCTCTGAGTAGTTCTGCTATGGTCAGCCCAGTCCAATCTCTGAGTTGTTCTGCTATGGTCAGCCCAGTTCAATCTCTGAGTAGTTCTGCTATGGTCAGCCCAGTTCAATCTCTGCTGCTCTGAGTAGTTCTGCTATGGTCAGCCCAGTCCAATCTCTGAGTAGTTCTGCTATGGTCAGCCCAGTTCAATCTCTGCTGCTCTGAGTAGTTCTGCTATGGTCAGCCCAGTCCAATCTCTGAGTAGTTCTGCTATGGTCAGCCCAGTCCAATCTCTGAGTAGTTCTGCTATGGTCAGCCCAGTTCAATCTCTGAGTAGTTCTGCTATGGTCAGCCCAGTTCAATCTCTGCTGCTCTAAGTAGTTCTGCTATGGTCAGCCCAGTCCAATCTCTGAGTAGTTCTGCTATGGTCAGCCCAGTCCAATCTCTGCTGCTCTGAGTAGTTCTGCTATGGTCAGCCCAGTTCAATCTCTGCTGCTCTGAGTAGTTCTGCTATGGTCAGCCCAGTTCAATCTCTGCTGCTCTGAGTAGTTCTGCTATGGTCAGCCCAGTTCAATCTCTGCTGCTCTGAGTAGTTCTGCTATGGTCAGCCCAGTCCAATCTCTGCTGCTCTGAGTAGTTCTGCTATGGTCAGCCCAGTTCAATCTCTGCTGCTCTGAGTAGTTCTGCTATGGTCAGCCCAGTTCAATCTCTGCTGCTCTAGTTCTGCTCTGGTCAGCCCAGTCCAATCTCTGCTGCTCTGGTCAGCCCAGTTCAATCTCTGCTGCTCTGAGTATTTCTGCTATGGTCAGCCCAGTCCAGTTTTGATGTTCTCCACTATCTACTGACGTTGTTGCCTTCCCCTTCTTCTCCCTTCTGGCACAGTGCCCTGCAGTACAGTTTCGGATAGGCCTATGGTTTGTGACATGGTCATACCATTTTAATGTTCTTGTTTTGACAATGCTCAGTAGACTCTCAAATGACCAGTGACGGCCAGACATGACCAGTGACCGAAAGCATGAGTTTGAACTTTTGACTTCTTGAAAGTATTTCTTCTTTCGTTCCCGCAAAAGACAGTATGGCGACAAGAAACTTGATGGAGTGAGCTTCGCCCAGTCCTTGGCCATTTACCTGTCTGTCTGCTACTATGCCATTTGGGTTTTTTGTGATCATTGTCTTGTCGGCATGCAATGTCTCGTGGATGTTCTATCCAATAGATCTACTAATTCTATCTATGTCATCAGCGATGGTAGATTAGTAGGTAGATTTTGAAAAAGGCCTCATCAGCCCGAGGGTTCGAACTCGAGACTTTTCGGTTAAGCAACCATGAGCTTTACCGACTCTACCGAATCCCTAGTTTCGTACAATTTATGATAATTTCGCATTTTTGCATTTCGTTTTAATTGGTTTGTTAATTAAGATCCCAATAACTATATAATTTCAAGAATATTGGTGCGTTTCAGCTTGTAAGCACACTACTTAACGTTATATGAATCATTTGATGTACTACATGTAACAAAACCAAAATATACAATCCAATTTTAAATAATTTATACATAACAAAACAAATTTCAAACAAAAGTTGAAAATTACGCGCATGGAAAGATTCTTACATGTCTAAAAATAGATTTTTATTTGTTATCACTAGGTGGCTTAGCGATAGCACACCTCTAGTACGCCATTCTGATGTAATACTGTCATAAAATTGTCAGCAGTTAGCTCAGTTTGGTTCATATCACTCAGGAACTTTAGTTTGTATCGGCCTGGGTCCTGTAGATTTTTGAAGTCGAGAATTCTTTGCTTGATCTGGAATTAGACAAAAATAAATATTCACACCTTCATTTACTTAGGTCTAGAATTTTCGTCTAGAATAAGACTTCCGAATTTTATAAATTTAAACCATTACTAGTTTTGAAAATCACAAAGGTAACATACAAGATTATACCACAAATATGTGTTGCTTTAAGGTTTTACAGTGGGGAAATGAGCAAGGCTTCGGTGGGGATAGCTACTGCAATTACAGATAAAAAGATAAACAGATACATGTTATAACTGATCAGAAAATTAGATAGATTTTGGACAAAAGCGATAAATTGAAAAAAAAATTCAATGATAACTTTAGAACATGTTAATTAATTTTAATTAAATTGTTTACCACTCCAAATTATAAATGTTCTCCATCGTCATCAGTGATTAGGATAATCTCACAAATCTCATCAGATATATAGAACGTGCTAATTAAATTTTAATAATTTAATTACCACATCAAATTCTAGATTGTCCCCGTCGTCATCAGTGATGGGGATAATCTTCTCCTTAGGTTTCACGTCCCCTGGGTACAGGACCTTGACCGCTATACCCCCGGGAACAGCCTCTACATGTAGAAATATAACATAAAAATTAACACATGACAGCAATACTTTTATGCACTAACTGTTATTCAACAACAACATATTCAATACATATGGGCCTATAAATTAAGTCCGTGTAAACCTCACTACATATAAGTTTAGGTTGAACCTAGGGTTAACATCACCTGGTTACCTAGATAACTTAACCTCACTACATACAACTTTAGGTTAAACCTAGGGGTCATCCATAAATGACGTCACACTCGTAGGGGGGAGGGAGGGTCCGTAATTTTGTGACGATGTGTGATGAGGGGGAGGGGGGGGGGGGTTCAGATGTTACGACGTCACATTTTTGCATTATAAAAAAGCAATGTTAGAAAACGAATTTTAGACGTTATTTCGCGTTTTAGATAACTGTTTTAATAAATTGTAATAGTTTAGACAAGATTTTGGAAAAATATCGATGTTTTAACAAAATTCAACTGCAATTTTGAGGGGGGTTTTAGGTTGAGGTGTGACGTCATTTTAGGGGGGGGAGGTCTGACTTTTTGTGAAGACGTGTGACGGAGGGGAGGGGGGGAGGTAAAAATCGTCAAAAAAAGCGTGACGTCATTTATGGATGACCCCCTAGGGTTAACATCACCTGGTTACCTAGATAACTTAACCTCACTACATATAAGTTTAGGTTAAACCTAGAGTTAACATCAACTGGTTACCTAAATAACTTGGTTTAACATCCGACATGTCAACAGTTCAACCTGTGATGTAAAAATATTTTTTAAAAATGAGCTGAAAATGTACAGTTCTTTTTATTAACTCAAAATATCTAGTTTTTTATTACTAATTAGTAATTTTAATTACTAAATTAGACTATAGATTTTTATTACTAATTAGACTTCTTAGTTTTTAAATTGTTCTATAGAACGAGGTACAACAATTTTATAGCTCGGCATAATTAAAAAAAATTATAAGCGTTTTGTTCTATTTAGGCTAATTAAATCAATTTTTTTTTAATTAGAACAAATCTGATACTAGACTTACGTTCGATTGTAAAATTAATTTAAAATCGGGGAAACCCGCGAATTAATAGAAAAAAAAATTTAAAAAAAAAGAACCTTGCATTGAATATTGTGCAACAAATGTATGTTAGAAGATAATTTTATAAATTAACTTTTGAAAGCAAGTCGACATGAAAGTAGGTCTATTTTGTATTACTATTTTTTTATATATTTATTGTTATTAGTGTTATTCATTAAATAGCGGTTAGAATTTAAAAGATGATTTATAAATTTTAGGGCTTAGAATCTGTACTGTAGGCCTATCTTTAAACTTTAAAAATCCCCAATGTATTTTTTTCGATCACTGCACCCACCACTAGACTCCCAAATAGTAGAATACACCTACGTCATTTTATTAAAGAATGTCTAATTAAAATTCGGTAATTTTAATACCTTAGGCAGCTTTTTAATGTATTTCACTGTCACAAGAATCGCTATTTCAGCCTACTTATTGGCCAAAAGAAATAAAGTTTATCTGGACACACTTTTTTTCAAAACCAGGTCAAACTAAAAATTCTGCATGTTCGACGTTAAATGTTACCTCGTCAGACATCTTGATCAAACTTTTAATTTGTGATTCGTTTTTTATAAAATTAATCGGTAACAAAAAAAAAAATTTCAAAAAATTAAATATAAATGCTAACCACTCACCAACTATTCTTTAAAAGATTTGAAAAACTGGGCTCTGTTGTAAATTAGATGTTATTTAAGACACCAGGAAAACCCAATCATTATTCAAACTATTTTAAGCAACGGAAATTTTTAACGTTTCATAAAATCACAATTTTTTAAATTTTTTTTTAAATATTTAAAAATTATTACAGTAGATTTAACTAACTAAATATTGCATGTAATACAGTCAAGAAATTTATCTGTAACGCTTTTGGACAGCTATACATAATTAATAAACACTTGTAATGAATTATTTAAATTATGCAACTGTTTTCTTTAGTTTAGTTAGATCTAGATCTAGTAATTGACTAATTGTAGTAAATATATTTTTGTTATTTATTACAATAATTACATGTAATCAAAACTCATTTGTAATCATTCAACAAACGAGTGACAAAAAATTCAAAGACAATGTTAATTAAATACATAAAACTTTTATTCTCCAACCTTACAAAATTTTAAAAAAAATTAATAAAAAATGAATTCAACACAACACCAACAAAACCACATTTTTTTAGTCTAATATCAGCTGACAAAATGAGAGGATAACACAGCTTTAGTTAAAGTTGCTGACACGCTTGAAATCATTTCCTTCTACACACAAGTAAACTTATCAACACCAAGCAAGTTGTTAACACGCTTGAAACCATTTCCTTCTACACACAAGTAAACTTAACCTATCAACACCATGCAAGTTGTTAACACGCTTGAAACCATTTCCTTCTACACACAAGTAAACTTAACCTATCAACACCATGCAAGTTGTTAACACGCTTGAAACCATTTCCTTCTACACACGAGTAAACAAATCAACACCGTGCAAGCTGTCAGTAGAACTAGTTGGCGTGATAGACCTCTAGTACGCCCGGCTGTTGTAAAATGTCGATGATGTTGTCTTGAGTTAGCTCAGTTTTATCTTTGCCGATGTAGTACCTCAGCTTGTAGTTATGGACGTCAGTTAGACCTTTCGCGACCAGAATACGACGTTTGATCTGCGACCAGACGAGAAAAGTTCAATTTAACTGTATAAAATAATTGTAAAAAGGTGTGTGACATCGCCAACCATCAATACATTAAAATTAAGCAACGACAACATTAAAAATATAAATATTTTGGATTAAATAAATGTTTTGTTTCGTATTATTTATTTACCTTTTTAAAAAATCTAACACAGAAATGTCTTGTGTGATTTTCTTTTATTTAAATCTTAGAAAAAAAGAAGGATGGGTTATGGTGTTTGTGTGTTGCGGAGGGGGGGGGGGGGGTAGTTATAATACTAGCTTTTATAACTTATAAATTACGGTAAAGTATATATATATAAATATATATATATATATATATTTATTATATATATATATATATATATATATATATATATATATATATATATATATATATATATATATATATATATATATATATATATATATATATATATATATATATATATATATATATATATATATATATATATATATATATATATATATATATATATATATATATATATATATATATTGTTTCTTTTGGGGGGGGGCTGACATCACGAAATGCCGCACCGTTGTGACACCCGACCTAGCGATGCCTCTGCCACTTTCTAAGCATCAAACAAGCATTGTGTACCTCATCAAAATCCAGATCATCTCCGTCTTCGTCTGAGATTTCAACTTTTTTATTCACGGGTTGAAGGTCGCCAGGGTAGAGAATCTTGACCGCCAGCCCGTCTCGACCAGCTTCTACATGGAGGCAAAAGTAAAGTTCAATTTCAGACCTTCGTGATCAATGGGGCAGGTGGAATAGAGTTCATCTGCTTTCGCGACAACGACATATGGAAAACATTGTGGGTCCCTGACAATGTCCAACCGCATTTACTTTCCCTAACTGGAGTCGGGAACTCATTACGGCTGGGTTAGGGCTCTATTCCCGAGTTTCTACACAACATGCGGATTTCATGAGCATAGCGTGCGGATCTTTGTTAGCTTGCGCAAAGTACTGACGAGTTTGTCTACAGCAGTTTTTTCTGATTTTTCTCGGGGGGGGGGGGGGCGTATGTGTGTAAATCATACGTTTGCCAACCCCCTCCCGGACTAATTTATATATAAAATATGTAGTGTAACGAGTTCCCTACCCCCCCCCCCTCATTTTTATATTTCGTCCCCGAGAAAAATGTCTGAAAGAAACCATGATTTTCAACCCAATGGAAGCCAACTTAACGAAGAACCCGCCAGGTAACGAATTTATAACGAAGAACCCTCCTTCTGTGTGTATTGTGGGCTTAAAGGTGAAGCCCATATGCGCTACAAAAGCTGGTCTAAAATTTCATACGACATGTTGAGACCCGAATAAAAACTACAGCATTCATGTGAAATGTGACACCTAAAACTATATATTTATTTATATATATATATATATATATATATATATATATATGTAACTGGGGTAGGCCTAACTACCAGTTACAAATGATAACGAACGAGAAGCCGAGACACAGTGTTGGTCTGATGCAACCGATAACAGGTGGCTTATTGGGTCGGGCTGATAACAACCTCAAAGCCGGCGCGTGCTATTTTGGGAAACGGTATTCAGACGGCCTGTCAACTTTGATGGATAGGACGCAGATGTTATTTTACGGTCTGTACGTTTGAACTACGCAACTGGTGGTCGGAGATCGAGTACAAGTATCGATTACGGAGGAATACAAGTACAGAGACGAGTACGGATACAAGGCATAAATAGGAGGGCACGGCAGGACTCGTTCTCTCTCTCTCTCTTCCCGTTTCGAGGCTCCTGCCTCCTTCATCGCTCGCTTAGATCAGTCAGTCTGTGTGACTATGTCAAGTCGGTTATAGAACGGGTTAGCCGTATTGTGTTAAGAAGGATTATAGACATGTGGATTCAGTTATATAAAGCCTAGTGAAGGACTGTTAGGGGTCAGTTGATTCAGACTATTATTGAGAAGCATTCCTGTTGATTTATTGTGTTATTATGAAGCATTTCTTGATTCATGTAATAAAGGATCAATAGCGAACCTGCATCTTGAGTATCTATACTGTGGTCAATGTTGTCTAGAATGAGTGGTTAAACTCGTTAACACGTGGCACTACAGGCAATTAGGTCTCATTACATGTGGCGTTGCGAGCATGGTAACTGTTGGCTCGTTACAATTGGCGTTGTCGGCAGGATAAATGTTCGCTCGTCACAATTGGCGCTGCGATCAGGATGAATTCAACTAGACTTGCCGTTTAAGGCACCTATAGTCAACCTTGTGCATAACTGTGTTTAGTGTGTGTGTGAATTCGGACATTCAGGAACTGTGAAAATTGAGGAACGAGGAAAAATTTTTCATACACACACGGTAAGAAAGAACTCTTTTTTTTTAGTACTTAAGGAAGAAAATGTCTACTCTGGACGAGAAGCAGACCCATATAGTGGTCCTACCCAGAGAGTCCCATATTAACAAATTTTACGGGGACGGAGATCCAACTTTAACCAACAGGTTCAGTGAAGAGGTCAAAGCGGCCTGGGCCTCGAGACATATGTCACCAGAGGAAAGATTAAGACTGCTGATGGGCAGTATAGGTGAAACGGTTAGGGCAGAGGTTAAGTGCCACGATAGGACCGTCCAATCAGATCCAGATAAGGTGCTAGATCTGATTATGGAGACCTTTGGGGAGAGACGGTCGGGAGTGCAACTGCTATCGGGATTCGTGGGCTTAAAGCAGAGAATGGCGGAGAGTGTGATGGAGTACTCACACAGGATGAACAGGGCCTTTGATTTGGTAAAGGGCAAATCACCGGACATTGATGTACGCCTACTGAGGGACCATTTCATCGAGGGGCTAGCAACCCCGATCTTAAGAAGAGAGTTGAAAGAGGAGGTCCACAGAGACCAGCAGTTGACCTTCCTTCAGGTCAGGAACTCAGCGATCCGCAGGTCCGAGGATGAGGACCAATCGAACTGTTCGGTGGACAAAGTCTCTGTGCCTCAACAGAGACAATCCCCACCCACAGGGGCCGACACGATGGAGACCATGATGGCTCAACTGTTGGCCCACCTAGAGAAGGTTGACCAACGCTTGAAGTGGTTGGAAAGCAGGTCAACAGCTGAGAATCAGGAAAAGAACGGTACAAAACAGGGACGGGTTGGACGGCCGCGTCCTGCCAAGCCATCACTCCAATGGACGGCAGACGGTCGACCAATTTGTTGGTCTTGTTCACAACCCGGACATATGGCACGGTACTGCCAGGGAAACGGTCGTCCTCTGTAAGGCAGGGCCAAGCTACAGAGGGGCGAGGTTATGGCCCAAGAAACAAAATGATGGGAGTCTGTCCCGAAATGGTGATTACGATTGGGGACATCGCGGTGAAGGCAATTGTGGATACAGGCTCCCAGGTGACGACAATCACGGAAAATTTTTACACCAAATGGATGAAAGGAAAAGACCATAGGTTGAGGTCTGACACAGGCATGCGCCTAACGGCAGCTAATGGACTAACCATTCCATACTGTGGTTATTTTCTGACGGATGTCGTGGTGGCGGGACATAAGTTGAAGCAGGTTGGGGTGTTCGTTACGAAACACAACCTAGAGACAAATGTGTCAAACATACCTTGCCTATTGGGCATGAATATTCTTGGTCAGTTGCCAGAATTTCCTACAAATATTGTCGGATCGACCACACCAGGTCGGGGATCCAAGTTGGCCAGGTTTGCCAAGACCAGAGGAAGGACAGCAGTCCCGGCAAACACGGTCAAGGCAATCACATTACAAATTGGTGATAGAAGCGTGAATGGTGATGTGATGATAGAACCATGTGGCGCCGCACTGAGGGCAGGCGTCGTGTTACTGCGGACATACACATCAGCGGAAAACGGACTAGTTCAAGGGTTGGTAGCAAATGTTTTGGATGAAGAAATTTTTATACCGCCTAATACTCTGGTAGGAGTGCCACAGAACGTCGAGGTACAAAGGTCGGCACAGTGCATCGAACTGATCAATACCAGCAGTAATGAAGTAACAATTAGGTCGGTCAATGTGACGGCCGAGGTGAAGAAAAAGGGTGGCCGATCATATATATTCCCGGAAACTGAAGACCCAAAATTAAATGAATTACTGAATAAATACAGGGATGTATTTGCCTCGTATGAGGGTGATTTGGGGTACACGGAAGTAATCAAACACCAGATACCCTTACTACAAGACAAGCCGGTGGCGCAACCTTATCGAAGATTGCCACCAAGTCACTACTCGGCGGTGAAAGCACACCTGAATGATCTACTAGAAAAGGGAATTATTACAACTAGTACAAGCCCGTATGCGGCACCGATTGTAGTGGTAAAAAAGAAGTCAGGGGAGATAAGACTGTGTTGTGATTACCGGAAATTGAACAATATCACAAGAAGGGATGCATTCCCCTTGCCTCGTATTGATGAATGTCTTGATGCGTTGGGGGGAGCAAGATTTTTTTCTACCTTGGATTTGGCTAGTGGCTACCACCAAGTGGCCATGCACCCCAACGATCAACATAAAACTGCATTTATTTCTCCACTGGGACTGTACGAGTGGACCCGTATGCCGTTTGGTCTAACTAATGCACCGGCTACATTCCAGCGAGTAATGCAGAGTGCTATGAGTGACTTTCTATTTCAAATAATGTTGGTGTATTTGGATGATATTCTAGTTTACTCAAAAACTTGGGAGGACCATCTAAAAAGATTAGAACAAGTGTTTCTCCGTCTTAGGGAGATAGGAGTAAGGCTGAACCCAGACAAATGCTGCTTCGGTCTGAAATCGGTACATTTTTTGGGTTACGTGATTTCGTCGGATGGCATCGCCACTGACCCAGATAAAATTGCAGCTGTTAAAGAATGGCAACAACCAACAACTACGGTAGAGGTCAGATCATTCTTGGGCTTTGCTTCCTATTATAGAAAATTTGTGCCGGGTTTTGCAAAAATTGCCGCACCATTGCATGACTTGGTAAACAAAATGACAAAGAAACACAGTAAGGAGAAAAAGAAAGGTAAAACACAACTGATAGGTGAATTATGGACTGATGAATGCCTGAACTCGTTTAAGCTCTTGAAAAAGGCTTTGACAGAGGCACCGATATTGGGATACGCGGACTTTGACAAACCATTTCGGTTAGAAATTGACGCCAGCTCTAAAGGTCTGGGAGCTGTGCTATCACAACAACAAAAGCAAGGTTTCAGGGTTATTGCGTATGCCAGTCGAGCTCTGAAGGAATCAGAGAAGAACATGACAAATTACAGCGCCATGAAACTAGAACTTTTGACATTAAAATGGGCTGTGACGGAAAAATTCAGGGACTATTTATTAGGTGCTAAATGTGTGGTATACACTGACAATAACCCCTTGAGCCACCTAAAGACAGCAAAGCTAGGATCCATCGAACAGCGATGGGCAGCAGAATTGGCACTCTTTGACCTGGAGATAAAATATCGCCCGGGGCGGTCCAATGGCAATGCGGACGCTTTATCAAGGAATCCTTACGAGAAACCGGGTAATGAGGAAGAAACGCTGACAGGAATATGTGAGGTCAGAGCGTCAACAGATATCCCTCATGGGGTACAAGTGATGCAGAACGGGCAGACCGGGGTGGAGCACATATCCACGGAACCCGAACATATGGACAGTAGTGATTTTAATTGCCTTAATCACCAAAAGATAAGAGATGCCCAGAGAACGGATAGTGGCTTACAACCGCTATTGAAACACGTCCAGGAACAAAAATTCCCAGGAAGGAGGGAAAGAGAACAATTTGGTCGAGAAACAAAGAAAATACTGAGTCAGTGGAACCGTCTCAGTATAAAGGATGGTGTTCTCATGCGGAGAATTCATGACCAAATTGATGGCACAATACACCAGGTGGTGGTGCCGGGACAATTACGAGGAGAAGTGCTAAGGTTGGCACATGACAGGGCAGGACACCAGGGTCAGGACAGAACCCACAAAATATTACGACGGAGGTGTTACTGGCCCAATATGGAAATGGAGGTCAAACGCCATTGTGAGGCTTGTGTGAGGTGTCAGCATGCGAAAATGCCAGTTGTCAAAATGAGACAGCCATCAGGACACCTACTAGCGACAAAACCACTAGAGATTGTGGCTATGGACTTTACGTCGTTGGAGCAATCATCGGATGGGACGGAACATGTGTTGGTAATGACTGATGTATTCACCAAATGGACGGTGGCGGTGCCCACGCGAGATCAGACCGCCAAAACAGTGGCAAAGGTCTTATTACAACATTGGTTCATCGAATATGGCATACCAAGACAATTACACTCTGACCAAGGAAGGGCTTTCGAGTCAGAAGTAATTAACCAACTGTGCAGCCACTACGGGATCAACAAATCTAGAACAACCACATTTAATCCGAAGGGAAACGGACAGTGTGAACGGTTCAACCGCAGCATGCATGATTTGCTGCGTACGCTAGAACCTGAACAGAAAAAACGTTGGCCTGATTTTCTCCCAGAGTTGGTATATCTATACAACTGCACACCACATGCCACAACCGGCTTTTCGCCATACATGTTGCTGTTCGGACGAGAGGCTCGACTCCCTCTTGATTTGTTCCTAGGAAAAAGGGAGAGTATGACTGGCTCATACACCGCACTGGAATATGTGAATGAACATATGAGAAGAATTAGAGAAATGTACAGGGTAGTACAGGAAAGACTAGAACATGAATCTCGGCGAAGGGAACCGCCGATACAGACGAAGGACCCGCCACTCAAACTGAATGACAGGGTATTACTGCGTAGCCACCCGTTAGGCAGAAACAAAATCCACGATCTCTGGGGACAGGAGATATGGCAAGTCGTGGAGATGCCTAAAGTAGCAGGTGGCCCCTTTAAGATAAGACCCATCGATCACGCCAAACCGGATCGGTGGGCGAATATTGCTCAATTAAAGAAATATTGGAATAGGCAAGAAGAGCAGTTACACACAGAGAAACCCAAGACAATTAGGGAACCGGAAGTTATAACGGAAATTCACATACCCATTCCGGAACCATATCACCATCAACAGAACAAACGCGATATACAAGTGGAGGATACCGGCAACAATGAGGATCCCGGTCCCTCCAGAAGCAGAGAGACAGTAGACCATCAGATAAGTGGTCCGCGGAGAAGTTTAAGGAACAGAAGGAATACGAAATTTTTTGTCAGCAACCATCAATTCTTTCATGGTCGCGCTGGTATGAAAACAGACTGTTCAAAGAGCTATAGAAGTGAACTGGTGAAGGCACCAAATGGAAAGGGTGGATGTGAATTCTAGAACTGTTTTGTGTCTCAGGAAGATGATGTAGACACAGTTGATATGTGAAATAGGTAGAACTGTCAATCGTATACGAATGGAACGTCGTGGACAGTGAGTGGAACAATAAATTTTTTTTTCTACGATTATGCGATTGACTTTGCAGGAGTGCACCTGCCAGGCGTTGTTTGTGGTTGAAAACACACAAAAAAAGCAGGGGTGGATGTAACTGGGGTAGGCCTAACTACCAGTTACAAATGATAACGAACGAGAAGCCGAGACACAGTGTTGGTCTGATGCAACCGATAACAGGTGGCTTATTGGGTCGGGCTGATAACAACCTCAAAGCCGGCGCGTGCTATTTTGGGAAACGGTATTCAGACGGCCTGTCAACTTTGATGGATAGGACGCAGATGTTATTTTACGGTCTGTACGTTTGAACTACGCAACTGGTGGTCGGAGATCGAGTACAAGTATCGATTACGGAGGAATACAAGTACAGAGACGAGTACGGATACAAGGCATAAATAGGAGGGCACGGCAGGACTCGTTCTCTCTCTCTCTCTTCCCGTTTCGAGGCTCCTGCCTCCTTCATCGCTCGCTTAGATCAGTCAGTCTGTGTGACTATGTCAAGTCGGTTATAGAACGGGTTAGCCGTATTGTGTTAAGAAGGATTATAGACATGTGGATTCAGTTATATAAAGCCTAGTGAAGGACTGTTAGGGGTCAGTTGATTCAGACTATTATTGAGAAGCATTCCTGTTGATTTATTGTGTTATTATGAAGCATTTCTTGATTCATGTAATAAAGGATCAATAGCGAACCTGCATCTTGAGTATCTATACTGTGGTCAATGTTGTCTAGAATGAGTGGTTAAACTCGTTAACACGTGGCACTACAGGCAATTAGGTCTCATTACATGTGGCGTTGCGAGCATGGTAACTGTTGGCTCGTTACAATTGGCGTTGTCGGCAGGATAAATGTTCGCTCGTCACATATATATATATATATATATATATATATATATATATATATATATATATATATATATATATATATATATATATATATATATATAAAAAGATGCTAACTATATATATATATATATATATATATAAATAAATAAATAAATAAATATATATATATATATATATATATATATATATATATATATATATATATATATATATATATATATATATATTTATATATATATATATATATATATATATATATATATATATATATATATATATATATATATATATATATATATATATATATATATATATAAAGAGAGAGAAGGAGAGAGAGTTTTAGGCGTCATATTTCATTTGAAAAACCTTGGCAAAGTATGTAGTAGCGAAGGTTTTCATCCTTTGTCTAAAATCCACAACCATTCAAAAGTAGGTCAGGTTAACCGTTTTCAAATTTTTTAGGGAAAAAATGGTTAATATAACTCAAATTTGTTATCTAATGATATTATCTATTGACATTATCTAATGACATTATCTAATGACATCATCTAATGGCATTATCTAATGACATTATTTAATGACATTATCTGATGAATTCATTTATTGACATGATTCAACTAGATTACTTCAACTAGATTCAACTAGATTATTAAATACAATTATTTAAAGACATTATTTAATGAGATTATAAAAATGAAATGGTATTATTCAATGACTAAAATAAAGTTAATACGCCTACAGTTTAGTGTAGGTAGGCCAACATGAAATTACCTAAGCTAGTTGGTACAGCCCCCGACATGTTCATCCACTGATCTGAAATGGAAAAGCTGACGTCATGGTATCAAGTAGTTAATTTTAACAGCTAACTTTCATTATCGATTTTTTTTAGTCACTATAGTAAGCCCTTCAATAAAATTCAGTGACTAAATAATATAACAACTAGATTTAGTAAAGATTACTGTAAAATGTGCCTTACTTTAAATATTTGTTCTGATGGCTAGGCAGCTTAACACGGTTTTAGAATTGTTAACCTGCTTTGTGCACGGTAGTGTAGCTAATTAGTGTTAGCTTTTACACACCTTGTGGAATAATATACTCCAATCATTTACAACAAATCTGGCAGATTTTAAAAATTATTGACACGTATAAATGAACAAGATCTAGGTTGAAAATGTAATTCGATGTACAGTTAGGGATAGTATTTTCTAAAAAAAAAAAAACAAGACAAAATAAAATAAAATCGGAAAAATCCAGAATGTTTAAAACAAAAATCCCACATAGCTAAGAGGAAATAGAAAAAAACCCACAACAAATAAAATATTCGGCGTCTTTCTAATTATTAAAAATAATAATTAAAAGAGACTAAACTTGGTCAATATATTTAATTCATAATTGACTCCTAAGGGATGTAATATTAAAAAGCATACATAAGCTTACACATACACATACGCATACAGATTAAATTGCTCCTGGGCCATTACAACTCCGGGTTGTGTGTTTGCTGCTGAAATCTGTTGCTCCATAGTGAGGAGTGGTCTAAATATGATGTTCTAGGCCCCGAAGGGCAAGTTTTAGTACAATGAACACAATAAACACTATGAACCTTTTTTTTTTGCTTCTGATGAACGGTTGGATGAACGGTTAGGTAACTGTGTGATTCTGATTCTATAAAGTTTTGTTCGAAAAACATATACATATACATTGTACATATACATATACATGTACACGTACACGTACACGTACATGTGTATGTATATATATATATATATTGTATATATAGATCTGTATATATAGACATGTATAGTCAAAAGTTGACATTGTGGCTACCCATGGCCAGAAACAAAAACGACCGCTTGAGAATAGTTGCTGTTATACTCATACTGATCTATCGTTCCATTTTCATAACGAACACAAACATTATAGGGAAAAACACAAAGAAAATACTTCATACTCTGGTCAAACAAAAACTACAATCACTACACAATAGAATAAAATGGGCAGAGAACACAACACAACATACATTGGTCACACCTTTAGAAACTTACATACACATCACACCCAAGGGACGTAGGTTACAGGTTTATCTACAATACAACACCCATCTCAACAATCACAAGGGCAAACTGAAACAACAATATAACATGGAAAATATGTAGAATATACAAGTTACAGAAAAACACATTTTTATAGTACCCAGCACAATACAGCACGCTAAACAAATCTAAGCAACAATTCTTACGATGAAAGAGCTTTTTTATTTATTTTTCTGATGGTTAAAATGTATTATTTATACAAATTTACATCTTTAAATAATAATACAAATAATAATAGAAATAATAATAGAAATGTTCAACCCATGTGAATTAAATATAAATACTCATATTCATGATTCAGTGAAAAGGGTAAAAAAAAAAATTATTATGACAAATTTTACCTCAATGTTTAATATTACAGAAGGCAATGCAGTAAAAATTTAAAATGTTCTCTACAAAAAAGTTTCGATTGATTTTATTAAGTGCTCATTCAAATAACAAATGTTAAGATTTATTCTTCATTCATCTTTACAAATGATACAACTTATCCATGCCATACTTGATGTTAGGAAACCGTTGTCAGGTAAATCAAAAATTTAGAATAACTTGTCACAAGATTAGCAAGAAATTTACTGCTGATACATTTTTAAAATGTATGACTCATGATGCAGTATTAATACCATTAAAAAATAGTAGGTGTAAAATTTGGAGAAGTTAATGTGACCCCAATTAAAATTCATGGAACGTTACAAAAATTCAATAAAAATAAGCAAGGCAAAACAGAGTTGTGCTTTTTTTGTGTGCCTTATTATGATTTGAATAAACAGAGAATGACTAAATTAATACCTTTATATTTATTGAAAGACACCACATGAATATTTTACAACCTGCTTATCTAACTGTTATTAAAACATGGCATAAGATAATTATCTTACCCATATTAAAAAGCTTAACTGATATCTTTGCCATTCTTTTAAAGAAATGCAAAGAATTTTAAGAAATATCAAACAATCTACTAAAAGTCTCTATACACAGCAACGTTATACCCTGCATGAGATTTAAAAATTTACATTTCATAAAACTGTTTCTAAATTTATTTATTTTTATTTTAAGATTCATACATGAATCATTTTACGTAGTTGTAGCAATTGCAGGAACAATACGGCTTGCTATTCTTTTGATTTTAAACATGTCTCGTATGTTTATGTGCATGAAGGTTTGCAGTGAAGGTTATGTAATAAATCTGACCATTGCTGTCATCTTTTTCAAATTCCAAAGCATCAAATGGAATTGTGTTTAGTTGGCTTTCTTGTAATTTCCTCAATCTTAATTCAGCCTCGTTGACACCATCTCCAGAGAGGTGTTGGGGAGGTGAATTATCTATCTTAACTGATTTATCAGTCTCAACGGCCTTGTTTGATGGCTTAAATTCTGGAACAGTAACTGTTGACAAAATGTCAATGATGTTTTTCAACTCAGAATCCTCTTGACTTTTACATCTGCTATCAATCCCGCTGTAACAACCTTATCCCACCCACCTGTCTAACCCACCCACCTGTCTAACCCACCCACCTATCTAACCCACCCACCTGTCTAACCCACCCACCTGTCATAACCTTAACCCACCCACCTGTCATAACCTTATCCCACCCACCTGTCTAACCCACCCACCTATCTAACCCACCCACCTGTCTAACCCACCCACCTGTCTAACCCACCCACCTGTCATAACCTTAACCCACCCACCTGTCATAACCTTAACCCACCCACCTGTCTAACCCACCCACCTGTCCTACCTTAACCCACCCACCTGTCTAACCCACCCACCTCTCTAACCCACCCACCTGCCATAACCTTAACCCACCCACCTGTCATAACCTTAACCCACCCACCTGTCATAACCTTAACCCACCCACCTATCTAACCCACCCACCTGTCTAACCCACCCACCTGTCATAACCTTAACCCACCCACCTGTCATAACCTTAACCCACCCACCTGTCATAACCTTAACCCACCCACCTGTCTAACCTACCCACCTGTCTAACCCACCCACCTGTCCTACCTTAACCCACCCACCTGTCTAACCCACCCACCTCTCTAACCCACCCACCTGCCATAACCTTAACCCACCCACCTGTCATGACCTTAACCCACCCACCTGTCTAACCTACCCACCTGTCATAACCTTAACCCACCCACCTGTCTAACCCACCCACCTGTCATAACCTTAACCCACCCACCTGTCTAACCTACCCACCTGTCATAACCTTAACCCACCCACCTGTCATAACCTTAACCCACCCACCTGCCATAACCTTAACCCACCCACCTGTCATAACCTTAACCCACCCACCTGTCTAACCCACCCACCTGTCTAACCCACCCACCTGTCATAACCTTAACCCACCCACCTGTCTAACCCACCCACCTCTCTAACCCACCCACCTGTCATAACCTTAACCCACCCACCTGTCCTACCTTAACCCACCCACCTGTCTAACCCACCCACCTCTCTAACCCACCCACCTGCCATAACCTTAACCCACCCACCTGTCATGACCTTAACCCACCCACCTGTCTAACCTACCCACCTGTCATAACCTTAACCCACCCACCTGTCTAACCCACCCACCTGTCATAACCTTAACCCACCCACCTGTCTAACCTACCCACCTGTCATAACCTTAACCCACCCACCTGTCATAACCTTAACCCACCCACCTGCCATAACCTTAACCCACCCACCTGTCATAACCTTAACCCACCCACCTGTCTAACCCACCCACCTCTCTAACCCACCCACCTGTCTAACCCACCCACCTGTCTAACCTACCCACCTGTCATAACCTTAACCCACCCACCTGTCTAACCTACCCACCTGTCATAACCTTAACCCACCCACCTGTCATAACCTTAACCCACCCACCTGTCTAACCCACCCACCTGTCCTACCTAACCCACCCACCTGTCTAACCCACCCACCTCTCTAACCCACCCACCTGCCATAACCTTAACCCACCCACCTGTCATGACCTTAACCCACCCACCTGTCTAACCCACCCACCTGTCTAACCCACCCACCTGTCTAACCTACCCACCTGTCATAACCTTAACCTACCCACCTGTCATAACCTTAACCCACCCACCTGTCTAACCTACCCACCTATCTAACCCACCCACCTGTCTAACCCACCCACCTGTCTAACCCACCCACCTGCCATAACCTTAACCCACCCACCTGCCATAAACTTTACCCACCCACCTGTCATAACCTTAACCCACCCACCTGTCATAACCTTAACCCACCCACCTGTCTAACCTACCCACCTATCTAACCCACCCACCTGTCTAACCCCCCCCCCCCCCCACCTGCCATAAACTTTACCCACCCACCTGTCATTACCTGACCCCACCCACCTTGTAACTTAACGGCTTCCGTCTGCAGCTCCACAAACTCAGCATACATGTCCTTCATCTTGGGTCCCGTGGCGTCTCGCCATCCCTCCCACGCCCTCAACAGCTCCTCGTAGTCCCTGGACTCAGCCATGCCGACTTCAGTCTCGTTGAAATCTCGCGCCAAGTTGAACCTCTCGTCCATCTTGGAGCACGGGGGCGTCCAGCCGAAGCTGTAGCCGTTGGGAAACTGTAGGGTCGCGTACAGCTGCTGGAAGAACTCGAGCAGAGGCCCAGCGTCCAACGTCCTTGAACCTGTCAGCATCTCCAATATATCTGGCCAGGGACGTGAGTTGCCAAGTTGGAGCATTTTTCTGCCAAATTAAATTTTAATTTTGTTTCATCTATCAATCAAAACGATATTTATTTAAACTTTTAAAGAAATCCACAGTTGTCTGTTAAATAAATACACAACTAATGGGTTGTGTTTGTCTAAAAAAGAGCATTGGTTTGATTTTCGAGGTCATATTATCAAAATTGCTTTTGTGTTGTTTTTTTTTTAACTAAAACTTATTTTTATCTAATTTGTGTATTCAAAATGATAAATAATGGTGTAAACCTACAAACCCCCCCCCCCCCCCCGAAGAAAAGTCTACCGCCCCCCCCCCCCCCCCCCCCCCTCCGCGCAATGAAATGGAATTTATATAGAAAACATACACTTTTACCAGTGTCCGCCTCCCCCCCTCCCCACCCCCAGGAAAAATGTTGTTTGCCCCCCCCCCCCCCCTCTCAAAATAATATCAAGTGCAACCCTGAAGAAAAGAGTCTGGAAGAAACACTGATTTTGTGTGCTGACAGTTTTGTCCTGTAATAAAATAAACATTTTCTTCTTTCTTGTATACGTCGTACATTTAGTATATTGTTCTCCCCTTCCCCCTCCCTACCCCCAAAAAAACTATTACAGTAAATATCATGTCTACGCCCCTGGTGGGTGTACTTAATTCACTCCTCTTGTTTTGATCCACCCTAACCAGGGCCGACTACTCAAACTTGTACATGTTTTAAATAACAGAGTTGTCCGACCATAGCGTGAACTTACTTGAGCTTGTTGCCGAGCTCTAGGCTGCCGTCCAAGTGACAGGTATGGAGCTGACCTTGGTGACCGGACATCTGACAGGCGGCCTTGAAGATCTGGAACTGTGCGACCACGGCCACAAGATGCCTGGGGGAGGGGGAGAACAATGTTTAGATCGGTTATAAACAAATGTTTAGGTCATTCAAAAATTGTTTGATTAGTAAAAAAAAGTTTAGGTCAAAAGACAAAAATTAATGTTCAGGTCTCTTAAAGTCTGTTCGATAATTTAAAAAAAAAACGTATTTAGATAGGTGGGCAAAAACTAATGTTTAGGACAGTTAAAAAGAATTGCTCTAATCTTTGATCGTCAAGTTATTGTCCAAGGTCACGGTGACCTACCTGGTGGCGGGAAGGTCAGAGATCACGTGGTACTTGGAGGCAGCATCCAAGTTCATGGAAATTTCTGGAACCTTCCTCAAGGCCAGGTCAAGCAGCGGTTGAAAGTCTGTTGATTAGAAAGTCAGGGTTGATTGAGGCGTGCCTAGCTAGGCGTTTATATAGTTAGTACTGTTTGTATGTAGGTATGTGTTTAATCCTAAGTTATGTGCCCCAGTTCTGATATGAGTGTATTACATGTGTAAGACATACATAGATACATAGTGGTGTGTACTTTTCGTTGATATAGCCTTGCAGTATATGTATAAAGCATGCATGTATACATGATGTATGTCCAGATGTGAGCTTGTATATGACGTATACCGTTGTCTGTTGCCGAGTGACAAGGCAATGACGTTACCGACAACCCGCCCCAGTAGTGTTTCTTCCAGACTTTTTTCTCCGGGGGGGGGGGGGCTTACAATTTTCGGGGAGGGGGCGCTAGACTTACTTCGGGGGAGGGGCGGACACTGTTAAATGTATTATTTTCTATATAAATTCCATTTCGTTCGGGGGTTCGGTAGAGATGCCTGGAAGAAACTCTGCGCCCCATCCCTGAAACATGAAACGACTTTTGAAGCCAAAGTGTCTGACATTTCATGGAGTCTGGTCTTATTTTTCAACACGTGTAAGGGTTGTTCATATATGACATCACATGACATACTCTTGCTGGCACGGTGTTCATATATGACATCACATTGATGGGACGGTGTTCATATATGACATCACATTGATGAGACGGTGTTCATATATGACATCACATTGCTGGCACGGTGTTCATATATGACATCACATTGTTGGGACGGGTGGCAGGGTTTCCTTCAGATAAGGGGCTCTTGAAACTTCGAGGGGGGGGGATGGTTAGAGAAATATTTTCTATATCAATTTAAATATTGTTTTATTTCGTCGTGGTTACGTACGCTGAATTGTTGAGTACGGCCAGTCTGCTGTATGACAGCATGCTGTACGACAGGTTGCTGTACGACAACCAGCTGTATGACTGCTTGCTTTATAATTTGCTGTACGACAGACTGATGTATCACAGCCTGCTGTATGTCAGGTTAGTGTAGATGACAGTTTAGATGACCCAGGTACTCACCAGGTAAAGCTTCCTGCCGGTACAAATAGGGCCAATCTGTGAAGTACATCTCTCCCATCCCAACAGCCTCTTGTCTGGTTTAACCTGATAGATATAGGACTTAGTTGCCGTTTGTACTGACCGATGCATGTGTATGGGTTGGTTTGGTCAGCATTATGTCAAACACAACTCAGATCTTCTTCTAAGATCTTCTTCGTTCTTAATTTTTAGTGTTGGAACTCGAGACTTTTTTTCGAATTTAGCAACCATGAACTTTTGCCGACTCGACCACGCCTCCATCACAATTAAGGATACTGGTTATGCGCCATTGAGGCCATTGACTCCGATTTCAGCCTGCTTTTCTTTTTGGATTTTGCTTCCATGGCCTTTGTCCAACCAAGAACAAACTACAAGGCAGCAGTTGTTTTGAAGTTGTCTCTCCTAGAAGAGTGGCTGTCCCCAGCTAACGAGCCTCATCTGCCCGAGGGTTCGAACTCGAGACTTTTCGGTTTAGCAACCATGAGCTTTACCGACTCGACCACGCCGACCCTTATACTAAGATCTGAAAACCATCAGTTGAATTTGAAACTGAGTAATCGTGCGCTCTACCACTTAACCACACTAACAGTTGTAATTTTTTTTAAATTAATCTTGTTGACGGAGCTACAACACGTTAAAATGAAGAACGGACAAAAAGAATCAGGCTCTTCAGTGTTTTGTGGGAATTGTTAACAGATTTTTGAGTGTGTGACGTCCTTTTGGATTTTTGTTTAGAGTTTTTGGGAACATGTGTGGCAGTGGGGGGAGGGAGGGGGGAGATAAAAATAGGTAATCAAACGTGACCTGTCGTAATTTACGAATGACCCCGAAACCCAGTTATCCAAGGATAACGCCTAGGCTAGTTCGCTAGGATCCGTGGTCATTCGCAACTGGGACATTTGGCGGACACGGTCGTTTGTGGCTGGGGGGGGGGGGGGGGGGGGGGTTCAGCTTCCCGATATTGTCAGCTTTGTACGTGAAGGCAACTACGTGTCCCAAGCCTTTTTTTTTTAGATCCGAACACCTCCCACGATCTGGCCGAGTTCCAGACGGTAGGACACGGCGTCCCGCGTCCGGTGGGGTGGAAGATAAGCCTGGTGAGAACCTACGGATAAAAAGCAACCAACGATAATACTTACTATAAATCACTTAAACACTCAGATCGCTGTCGCTGACGCGGCAGCAGCAGCAGCATTCGCCCTCTTCATCCTCTTTTTTCACACATACTATTTGATAACATGGTTCTTGACAACCTGTTCAAGAGAGAAAAAAAAGGGATAAACTGGGAGTGATCACTCCTTAACTTTCTCGAATATTCTTATATAACACTACAGGGGATGGCAACTCGGAATATAGACATGATTTTTAATTACTTAAACTTTTTAAAATAGAATATAATCTCGTAAAAAAAGAATTGTGCACCAAGTGAACGCCAAAATAAATGTATATAATAGTGAGGAACGTTATAAGTACGTTATAAATTCACATGCGTTTTTTGAGAAATCGGAAATTACTATTTCCGGTCAACGAAAATTACTCAAAATTCGACAGAAGGCAGAAAAGTAGATCTTTTACCTATATGTGACACTTCGTTCATCTAACCTAAACAGTACTCATGTTATAGGCTTTTATAATTATTTAGAATACATAATATTATTCAGAGTTTAAAGTTAGCATTAGGGTTATGTGTGATATTCTCAAACGTCCATATTTGCATTAAATTATTTGATTGGAAAAGTAACATATTTCCTAAACTCGGGCAATGCCGGATCCATGATGATTAATTAACGCAAAAGTCACGGTCGTTGACAGATAGGTTTTTCACAGAGGCCATTACAGGGCCTGGCCGAGACGGCTAGTACCCACAATATAACATAACAATGACTAAAATGTGCTCATAGAGAGAGTTATAAAGTTGAACAAATTAATTAACTGCTTTTTGATATTAAAAAAACTCACATCTTGAGAACAGCCCACAACACAATAAAACCGTAGTGATTGAAAAAAAGATCATAAAAAGAATGAGGATGGCTAAATCTGTGCTGTGTAAATGAAAATATCAGTTCAGTGATAAAAGCATATAAATTAACACTCCATAAATAGTTCTTTTATAAATAGTATATATATATATATATATATATATATATATATATATATATATATATATATATATATATATGTGTGTGTGTAAATAATTGAATGTATCTACTATGTAGCCTATGTGTTTGTCTGACTATTATGGAGCACATTAGCATGTATGATTATGCTATGGGATTGAGCGTGTGATAGTGTGTATATAAAAATATGTGCATACGTGTGTATGTTTGTCTGTGTGCTTATGGGTATGAGAGAATTAGTGCATGTATGAGTGTGTGTGTGTAAGTGTATTTATAAGTTTATTTATGGGTCAGTGTGTGTGTATGGAGGTGAATTTATGTGCAAGAGTGTGCGTATAAGGAAGTGTGTTACGGCCACTAATATCTCTTATATATATATATATATATATATATATATATATATATATATATATATATATATATATATATATATATATATATATATATATGCATATATATTTATTTATTTTTTAATAATAAAAATTAAAGCTTAAACCTGCAAAAATTCGGAAATTAAATATGTTTATTGAAGGTTCAAATCCAGAGAACTTTAAAATATGACTTTAGTTCTTTGGTTCAAATGATAACTAGACGTAATCTTAATACTTTATATATATATATATATATATATATATATATATATATATATATATATATATATATATATATATGAAAAGCACTATTTTTTTTTATAAATGACAATAATTACTCATTTCGGACTGATATTCCAACTTTGAATAACGAAAAATGTATGCCCATCTTTTAATATCCTGTTGCTGTGCAAGTCAGTACCACGTTATTCTGAAATGGTGCTTGCTGTGTTCTCTTCATGGCGCGCAATTTTAAACAAGCATATTTAAAGATTTTAAGTGCCTAATTTCGTAATTTTACTTTCTCGTATAGAATATACGAAGTATAGAGATAGTCTTTATAATCGTGCAAAAAAAATGAGATTTTTGCAAATCTCCACGTTTTATACCTCCCTGATTCGGAAAAACATAGTTTTGCAATCGTTTGTGTGTGTGTGTGTAAGTGTGTATGTGTGTGTGAGTGTGTGTATGTCTGTAAATGTGTGTGTAAGTGTGTATGTGAGTGTGTAAATGTGTGTAAATGTGTGTGTGTAAGTGTGTGTGTAAGTGTGTATTTGTGTGTGAGTGTGTGTGTGTAAGTGTGTGTGTGAGTGTGTGTGTGTGTAAGTTTGTATTACTGCCCCTCTCCCGCCGGTCAAATTTATATCGAAAATATGTAGTTAAACGAGTCCACCCCCCCCCCACCCCCCCCCCCCCCCCCTCCGTCCGCGAGAAAAATGTCTGAAAGAATGAAAGAAACCATGATTTTTAATAAATTTAAAGCCAAGGTAACGACATGTTTAACGAATAACCCTCCTTTGTGTGTTTTGAGGGCGTTAAGGAATGCAATGGATCGCTTAATGCTTCAAGTGCTGGTCTAAAATTTCATACGATCTGTTGAAATCCGAATAAAAACTAATGCGTTGGAGGTTTGTTTTAGCGTTAGTATATATATATATATATATATATATATATATATATATATATATATATATATGTGTGTGTGTGTATGTATATATATATAAATACTTGTATGTATATAGATCGTTATATATAAATCTTCATATAAATGTTATTATATATTATATATATATATATGTACATAAATATATATGTATATATACGTGTATATATATATATATATATATATATATATATATATATATATATATATATATATATATATATTTATTTATTTATATATATATATATATATATATATATATATAAATAGAAATGTAATAAATATGTGCATTATATAGTTTGCCTAGACATTACGTGGAATATTTGTCGTTTCTGGCAAAGTACGAAATTTGTAGAATACTGTTTTTGAGATATATTTTCCATACGCAAGTTATTCTGTTGTCCAGATTTTCTATCGAATGACAGATGCCAGCCTGGTTATAATGTTTACTGAGTTGTTTGGGGAGAGATCCGATAACAAATAGATAAAAAATAAAAGCATGGCTGTTTTCTCTGCAGTATTATAACAATAGTTACAAAATGATGAAAATAGAAGGCAAGGTGATTTTTTTCTCTAATTTTATATTTGTAAAAACAAATTTAAAATGTATTTACTAATGAAAAGACATCTAAACTATAGAACTAATAAAGAAGAATGAAACAGATATTTACAAAGTTTGAATATACCCATATATTATGTATTCATCACGACGTATCAGTTGCTAAGCATACGTATCTTTATACATCGTTACAAAAAATATCGTGACGAGAATCGTCTCAAATTGAATGACTTCATTTATGGACTTATAGGAACATTTTATTACATCAAATTTCAACGGAGTCTAACTTTTAAGAGCTCCAATGGAAGCAGACGTGAATAGACTCGAACACTGTATAACATTTTTTTAAATTGCGTGAGGTGTTTTGATAGGGGTAGGCTACGGTAAAAAAAACTTTTTTATACTTTATTATATCCATCGACTAGGATTCAAGTGTTAGATTATTAAAGCGCTCACAGTCTAAACTTTTAATTTAAAAAATTACTATTGAAAGTCTTTAAAACCAATTTTCATTTCATATACTTAGAATAATAATTTTCAATTATGAACATTACATAAAATTTTAAAAAAAGTGTATCAACGTTTCTAAAATTTCTAAAATTGTGTCTGAAATGTATTTGCATTTTGTCCTTTAGTTCTCATAACGTCCCGTGATTTGGAAAACACAGTTACTTCCCTTTAAAAACCCATTAAATCTGGGGAAGAAAGAATTTACTTTTTGTTACTTTGTTTTGGTGTTAGGAAAAAGAAAATTACTTAATTAGCGGGGATTGATTAAGTGCAATGTCGTTGGTATTTTTAATACTGCCTTTTAATTATTCTATACACTGAACATACAGTTTACTATTAATTTTTTAGCGCAATTTCCATACTGGCAATTGCGTTTAATAATGCGTCATTTCTGGATGGATGGATGGATGTATGGATGTATGGATGTGTGTCCGCAGCTTTAAGTCGTATCTCCTCCTCAACGAAGCAATATCGAGGACTAGTTCCAAAGCAAATATGTTAAGCAAGTTCCGAGGATGATTGTGGGCCAAAAAAATTCCCGGAATTCTTTCCTGGATTTCCCGGAAAAGCCAAAAAACCTCGAAAAAAATGCAGTTTTTGACCCATATCTCGGCAACCAGACCACTTAGCGACTTGAAACATTTACCAATCGATTCCTGACATAATTTAGAACAATATTGCCGAAAAAAGTTTTCAAAAATATCCTTTCGTTCGGTCACAAATTTTTTTTAAAATTACATAAACACCTACAAACCGATCGTTCTCCTAGCTTGAACGCACCCCATATCTATTTTTAGATAACATAAGGAAATTGCGTTTAAATTGTCACTAGACTTTTTATTAACTTGTTTAAATCAATAACATTTAATAAGCCAGGTCCTACAAATCCTATATGTTTATTTCTTCCATTTACGGATAAGCTTGGAGTATAATAATTTTGTTCACTAAATTGAAACAGGCGCGCCCGCCGGCGCCCCTGCACGGTTCGACTAGGCGCCCTGGGCTATCATGTGAGCGCTATGCTGCATAATTTCGTTTTAAACAGTGCGATAGACTATGGATAAGAAAGGTTACTATAGTCCAGAGGGCATCTCTTCGAGGGGGGCGAAGCCCCCCCCCCCCGAAATTTTTTTACCGCCCCCCCCCCTGCTATAGTCTTTAAGTTAATCAAATCCGGGCGTCCTCCGGCACCCCGACAGGGTGCTATTTGGCGCCCCGGGCCTTTTCCGTGTTCGCAATGGTACCTACGTTCGCGTGAGTTCAAAAGACAATGAATAAGTTGGGTACTATAGGCGTTTACTAAGTTGAATCAGGCGGTTACGCCGCACGTCGTCATGGTGCGATTTGGCGCCCCGGACTAGACTGTGGATACTTTGAGTTTATATTTGCGTTTGTGTTTTCTTTGTGTTTGAGTTTCGGTTTGCGTTTGTGGTTGTTTTCGTGTTTACGTTTGTGTTTGTATTTGTGTTTGTCTTATGTTTCCGTTGGTTTTTTTTTGTGTGTTTTGGTTTCGTTTGGTTGTGGTTGGGTTTGTGTTTGGATTTGTTTTCGTTTGCACTTTTGTTTGCGTTAGTGTTTGTGTTTTCTTTTCGTTTGTGTTTCGTTTGCTTTTTTCTTTGCGTTTGTGTTTTCTTTGTGTTTGTGTTTGCGTTTGTTTTCGTGTTTACGTTTGTGTTTGTATTTGTGTTTGTCTTATGTTTGCGTTGTTTTTTTTTTCGTGTGTTTTGGTTTCGTTTGGTTGTAGTTGGGTTTGTGTTTGGATTTGTTTTCGTTTGCACTTTTGTTTGCTTTAGTGTTTGTGTTTTCTTTGTGTTTGTGGTTGGGTTTGTCTTTGCGTTTGTTTTTGTGTTTTCGTTTGTGTTTGTTTTGTGTAAGTGTTATGTTTGCGTTTTTTGTGTGTTTTGGTTGGTTGTGTTTAGGGTGGGCAATGCGGGTTTTTTCTGATTACTAAATACACAAGTTAGGGTCCTTTACAGATACGTTTTTCAGAGATGCCAGTGCAGGGCCTGGCCGGGACGGCTAGTCTAATATATAAAGTTCAATTCTGTATGTTTGTTTGTAAAATGTTTGTAATTGAGGATTATAAAAGAATATAAGAAAAAGCAAACGCCAAAACAGAATGTGCAAAATAGTGCGGAATATTATTAGTACTTTATAAATTTACAAGCGTTTTTGAGAAATCGGAAATAGCGTAAATTACTACTTCCGGTCAATTGAAATTACTCAAAATTAGATAGAAGGTAGAGGATTAGAACTTTTACTTACGTGTGAAATTTCATTTATCTATCTGAAATAGTACTCAAGTTATAGGCTTTTGAAAAATTCAAAGTGAAAAAAGTACCACTTCCGGTTATCGGAAATCGCTCAAAAGTAGATACGGATCTACGATTTTGATAAAATACTTATAAATGAAATTTCATCAACCTAGCTGTAACGGTACTCAAGTTATCGTGTTTACACACACACAGACAGACACACAGACATACGGACAAGATTGCAAAATTATGTTTTTCCGTATCAGTGAGGTGTAAAACGTCGAGATTTTTTGCACGATTACAAGACTTTCTCTATACTTCGTATATACGAGAAAGTAAAAATGGTGTGAAAATCTTGGTAACTATGACAATGGCGGCCATTTCGAACAATTAACCTATTCGTAGGATTTCCACCATTCATAAACTATTATATTTTAAGCCCAATAAAGAATGGATTCGAAATCTCCTACCATATTTTGGGGTACTCAGCTAAAAATTGTATGTGCTGATCTTCAAACTTATTTATTACGAGATAAATGGCCCGTTGAGGAAGGATACAACGGGCTCTATGTTGATAGTGTTGTCTCTTTTCTTTAAACAAAACAAAAGCAAACACCTTTACTTCAAATTGAACTGGAAACGACATTGAAAACGGATTTTTAGCCAAAATCGGCAATTTAATCGGATTTAAGCTTGATCTACACGTAGTTAATGCACATTGATACTAAATATAGTCGTAGCCATACCCCTAAACCGAAACATTCAACAAAATATAATTATATACTTTTTCCAGTGTCCGTCCCTCCCAGAAAATTTAGTCCAACCCTGCCTCCGAAAACTTCAAGTACCCCCCCCCCCTCTCCGGGGAGGAAAAAGTTTGAAAGAAACACTGGTCGCATTTGTAGATCATACAAACTTAAGGTAGAGCCTGGGTGGGGCTTGGACCCTACCCCAAGAAATGTATGAAATAAACTGTGTACGCAATCAACTTTTAAGATTAGACAAAATTGGCTTTTTAATTCAAAGTTTACTCGAGAATCAATGACGTCATATTATTGTGTGCACTTCCCGGACTTTGGACTATTTCCCACTATATGCTCCATGTGACGTCATATTTCGTTTACGTTTTACTATGAAAGTTTTCATTTTGCATGTGTTTTCTCTATAGCGTTCGTCAAAAAAATCCAGACCCCCCCCCCCTAAAATGACGTCACACCTCAGCCTACATCCCCCCCCCCCCTCAAAATTGCAGTTGAATTTTTCTTAAAAGATCGATATTTTTCCGAAATCGTTTCTGAACTCTGTCAAAATAGAGTATTTTAATCAATTCCTGTTACAATTTATTAAACAGTTATCTAAAACGCGAAATAACGTCTAAAATTCGTTTTCTTAGATTGCTTATTTATAATGCAAAAGTGTGACGTCGCACCATCTGAACCCCCCCCCCCCCCCCCCCCCCCACTCCCCCTCATCACACATCGTCACAAAATTACGGACCTCTATTTTGAAAATTTTGTCGGACTTTACCTAAGATTGGATGTATTTGGTGTTTCTAGAATTTTCGTTTCTTTAACACAATTTTTATAAATAAAAAAAAGCCGAAACCGATGCATTTGTTACAAGCTTTTATTTTACCTGCTTGCTTTGTCGTCAGTTGTCATTCTGTCGTCATAGATTGGAACGCTCTAGCGGAATTTCGGGCACTTCTAACTTTAAATGACTTTAAGAAAAGCGCGGGTCTCTTCCTAAATATTAGTAAAGATATCTAAAAGATAATAAGGTTACCCACGCTTTTATTTATAGTAATTTAAATAGTAGTTTATTGTATATTTAAAGAAAATCATTTATTTTCTATTTCTTAGTACATAATTACATAAAAGGTTGTTATTAAAACGTTTTTTATGACAATATTTTTTTTTCATTTTATCATAGAAAATGACAACAAACATAGCTTAAAAAACTTTTATCGACAATGTTTTGAGTAAAAATGACTAAGAATTGGGGTTTTCAGAAGATCGATCACGGAGTTCTTGTACAGACAATCAAAGTTTGTCTTACTACAGTGAAACTTCAGGTTGTAATTTAGGTTTGATGAAAATAAATAGAGACGTAGCCTTAAAGTACAAAAAACTTCAAGTTCTTTGGATTTGCAGTCTTTATTATATTGTTTGTAAAAATATTAATTTTCTTAATTGTTTTTAGGTATAAGATGATTTTTTAATATATTTTTACGACCGCTTTGATGGCAAAATCTAAAAAAAAAAACGTTTTTTAATCCATGTCGAGAATAACGATCCAACCCAACTCGTCGAACTCGTTGCAGATGAAAATTATTAATATGATTATTTTGTAAATGAAATTAAGCGTTCAAATTTAGCGCACTTAGAATTTTTTTTAAAAATTCGAGAAACTGCTTGGACCAAAATATTGTTTATTTGAATAATTTGTCGCCGCGTTGGGATGAGGAAAAACCTTAAAGGACTACCAAGTTATTTTTAGAAACGGATTCTTTAAGTAAATCACTGTGAAATGTTTGAAAGTTAATGGCCTACATTCACTTAGTTAATTACTACTCGTAATAAATAAACTAGATCTATATATGTAGTAAATACAGCATAAGAAGTCAATTATCATTTTTTATTGCCTGTTATTTTTTTGCTAATAGTTATCAAAAAAAAATCCCAGGTTTATCTATCGACCATCGTTTGACAAAATTATCCGTCATTAATGATGTAGTAGTTAATTACAAAGTGCATACAACAAGAGGAAACAGAGAGAAAGTAAAAGTAAAAACAAAAGTAAATATAATTTATTCTCTTGTAAACATAGGCCTACACATTTGAACTAGAGCGTTAGAAGTGCTAAAGAAACATCAAGTAGCTTCGTGTTTTTAAAGAGGCAGTTGTCCTTCACTACGTTTAAAATGCTCAACTTGCATTGTAGTTTTAAATTTTATACATTGTAGAAAATCAATATTTTGCATGCACTTTGTTGGGAATTGTCATCTTTCTTGCATTTGGCTGAACATGTTCATCTGTTATGCACTTTGCAGTAAGTTTTTTTTTTAATCTTCGATGCAGTATTTGTAAAATTCTCATCTTTCATGCACTACATATAAATTTCTCATTTTTCATGCACTACATATGAAATTCTCATCTTTCGTGAACTACAAATTAAATTCTCATCGTTCATGCACCACGAATGATATTCTCATCTTTCATGCACTAAGAATAAAATTATCATCTTTCATGCACTACGAATGAAATTCTCATATTTCAAGCACTACGGGGAAACTACCGACTTGTACACATGAATACAACGACAAAAAACACAGCATACAGAGCCAGTGTAGAAACCCCGTGTTTCAGGGCGCCGTTGTCTTTTTTTACATGCGTGGGGACCGGGGTGTTGGGCGCGGGGGTCAAGGTAGGGCACGCTGGGTCCCACCCGTAATCGTTCCCGTTTTCCTTCCGTAGGTAGGCGAGCAGAGGCTGGAAGTACTCGAGGAGTGGAGCAACGTCGATCTTGGACTGACCGGTCAAGGTTTCCATGGCGTAGGGCCAAGGTCTAGAGGCACCGAGACTCAGCATCTTCCTGCAGTGGGGGGAAAAGTCAGGTGGGGGGTGTGAAAGGTTTGGTGTGGGGGGCTGAAAGTCAGGTTTGGTGTGTGTGTGGGGGGGGGGGTGAAAGTCAGGTTTGGTGTGTGTGTGTGGGGGGGGTGAAAGTCAGGTTTGGTGTGTGTGTGTGGGGGGGTGAAAGTCAGGTTTGGTGTGGGAGGGTGAAAGTCAGGTTTGGTGTGGGAGGGTGAAAGGTTTGATGTGGGGGGGGGGGGTGGTGAAAGTCAGGTTTGGTGTGGGGGGTTGAGTGAGGTTTGGTGTGGGGGGTGAAAGTCTGGTTTGGTGTGGGGGGGTGAAAGGTTTGGTGTGTGGGGGGGGGTGAAAGTCAGGTTTGGTGTGGGGGGAGTGAAAGTCAGGTTTGGTGTGAGGGGAGTGAAAGTCAGGTTTGGTGTGGGGGGGTGAAAGTCAGGTTTGGTGTGGGGGGAGTGAAAGTCAGGTTTGGTGTGAGGGGAGTGAAAGTCAGGTTTGGTGTGGGGGGGGGGGTGAAAGTCAGGTTTGGTGTGTAGGAGCTATTCGGATGACAAGAGTGATTTGTGTGAGGGGGGCGGAGTAAAAAAATATTATTTTACCCCCTCCTCCCACCTCACCCCATAAATTTGAGAAGCGTGTCCTCACCTGATCTTAGCCCCCGCCTCCTTACTTCCGTAGATGTCACACCTATGGAGGGGGCCCTTGTACCCCGCCGCCTGGCAGGCCGCCTTGTGGAACTGGAACTGGATGACGAAGCTGATGAAGTACCTGCAACAGCAGACCCAGACAGGTAAACCAACAGCAGACCCAACCAGGTGAAACAAGTGAACCAACAGCAGACCCAACCAGGTGAAACAAGTGAACCAACAGCAGACCCAGTCAGGTGAACCAACAGCAGACCCAATCAGGTGAAACAAGTGAACCAACAGCAGACCCAGTCAGGTGAACCAACAGCAGACCCAACCAGGTGAAACAAGTGAACCAACAGCAGACCCAACCAGGTGAAACAAGTGAACCAACAGCAAACCCAACCAGGTGAACAAGCCCACTAAGCCCAACACGCTTCCTTAGATAGTAGGGTAGAACAAGACACTTATTGGCTGATACTAGATAAACACGCCCAAAGTTTAAAGTGGATACAAACGCTCAATTTAAAGACTTACGAGACAAAAAGCCAACCTAACATAAAGACTGACAAAACCAAACCAAAAGCCCACCTAACATAAAGACTGACAAGACAAAAGCCCACCTAACATAAAGACTGACAAAACCAAACCAAAAGCCCACCTAACATAAAGACTGACAAGACAAAAGCCCACCTAACATAAAGACTGACAAGACCAAAAGCCCACCTAACATAAAGACTGACAAGACCAAAAGCCCACCTAACATAAAGACTGACAAGGCCAAACCAAAAGAACACCTAACATAAAGACTGACAAGGCCAAACCAAAAGCACACCTAACATAAAGACTAACAAGACCAAACCAAAAGCACACCTAACATAAAGACTGACAAGACAAAAGCCCACCTAACATAAACACTGACAAAACCAAAAGCCCACCTAACATAAAGACTGACAAGACAAAAGCCCACCTAACATAAAGACTGACAAGACAAAAGCCCACCTAACATAAAGACTGACAAGACAAAAGCCCACCTAACATAAAGACTGACAAGACCAAAAGCCCACCTAACATAAAGACTGACAAGACCAAAAGCCCACCTAACATAAAGACTGACAAGATAAAAGCCCACCTAACATAAAGACTGACAAGACCAAAAGCCCACCTAACATAAAGACTGACAAGACCAAAAGCCCACCTAACATAAAGACTGACAAGACCAAAAGCCCACCTAACATAAAGACTGACAAGACAAAAAGCCCACCTCATGTAAGGGACGTTGTACGGTACATGGAACTTGGCCCCAGGGTCAAAGTCTGTGGCCTTCCTCTCTATGGGCGAGAAAATCCCTTGGTAGCGGCACCTGGAACAATTACAAGTTTAGAAGCTGTTATTTAGACCATTCTCTCTTTCGTTGTCTGGCCTACATACTCAGTAGAATTAATAACAAACAGAACAATTTTAGATTGATTGAAACCACGTGACAGTTATTCTTCTAATGCCACGATTGTCTGGTCACTGTACAATTTTAGTGGTGTCAAAAAAAACGAGAGCTTTTGTTTTTGTTCAGACATGTAATTTACAGCGTCAGTTTGCATTGCATGTTCGCTTTAGCAGAGGCGTAGCGAGGGGGGTGGTGGGGGTGGACCGAACCGGGTGACACCATTTGGGGGGGGGGGGTGACACCAAGGCAAAAAATAGCAAAATATATAGAGAAAAATTTGAGGGGGGTGCAAATCGAAAGTTTGAGGGGGGGGGGGTGCAAATCGAAAGTTTGAAAGTTTGTCCCCGGGAAGGGTCGCTACGCCCCTGTTGTGACACCATTAAGTGCCGCACCGGGTGACACCCGACCTCGCTACGCCACTGCGCTTTAGTATTACTGTTTTCATCGTCGGCTTGTGAGGACAAATACAGATTTACAATAGCAATACTTATTTCTTGCATGAGTCTACTTTCATTCATTTAAGATGGTTTACTTATACATAGATCTAATACAAAACGTCGAATTATAATTATTATTTTTTTAAATCTGAAAGTGCAAAAGTCTAATTAAATGGTGATTCCACAACCTAAATAATAAATTTATTTTAAACATTTAAATTAATAATTATTATTTATTTAGTAGTTTCATACAGTTTCAAAGACATGATCATAAAGTGTATGTTTGGTAACTAAATGAAGAAAGTAAAATGGCATAAGAACTAGACTAAAATAGTGTGTAACTCTCTTGACTTAGTTTACTGTGCTCCATCTTCAGCTGTGAAGTCAAAAGTTGACATTGTGGCTAACCATGGCAAGAAACAAAAACAACCACGGGAGAATGGTCGCTGTAACACTCATACTGACCTATCATTTCATTTTCAAAACTAACTAAAACAGTATAGTGGAAAATACAAAGAAAATACAAGACACTCTGGTCAAACAAAAACTACAACCACTACACAATAAAATAAAATGGGCAGAGAACACTACAGACATTGATGACACCTTTAGAAACTTACATAGTAAACACATAGTAAACACATCACACACAAAGAAGGAGAAGTAGGTTACAGACTTATATGCAATATAACACCCTTCTCAACAATCACAAGGGCAAACAGAAACATAAATATAAAGTGCCAAATGTGTAGGACGAATACCAAAGTTACGGGAAAACACATGTTCTTAGTACCCAGCACAATAAAGCAAGCTAAACAAATCTTATTTTTTTTTTTTTTTTTTTTTTTACAAATCTTAGCAACAATTCTTACAAAGAATGCGTGAAATAAACCGGTAGTGATCTCCCCTAAACTTTCTCGAACATTCTTATATAAAACAACAGGGGATGGTAACTGGGGATATAGTTATGATTTTTAATCCATTTTAAATACTTAAACTTTTAAAAATAGAATAGAATCTCAGTAAAAAACAATTGCGCACCAAGCGAACGCCTAATAAAGGTGTGTATAATAGTGCGCAATAGTATTAGTACTTAATAAATTTACATTAGTTTTTTGAGAAATCGGAAGTAGCGTAAATTACTACTTCCGTTCAACGGAAATTACTCACAATTTGAGAGGAGGTAGAGAATTAGATCTTTTACTTACATGTGAAATTTCATTTATCTATCTGAAATAGTACTCAAGTTATATGCTTTTGAAAAATTCAAAGTAGAAAAAGTACCACTTCCGGTTATCGGAAATCGCTCAAAAGTTGATACGGATCTACGATTTTGATAAAATACTTATATATGAAATTTCATCAACCTAGCTGTAACGGTACTCAAGTTATCGTGTTTACACACGGACACACACACACACACAGACACACAGACATACGGACAGAATTGCAAAGCCCAGTTTTTCAGACTGGATTACGCATAAAACCTCTTAATTTTGATAAATCTGGATTGATAATTTTTGCCCGATTAAAATAAGTCCTCTATACTTCGGATGTGATGAAGGACTGAGGTGTAATACGGTGAAACTTGTTAAAATTTCAAGTGATTTTTGTGCACGATTACAATACTTTCTCTATACTTCGTATATACGAGAAAGTAAAAAGGGAGAAGAACATAGAATTAAAATCTGTTTTCAATATTTTAGATTGGGTGTTTAATAATGCTAGCAGGTTTCTATTTAGACTATAATAAAAAAAATAATCCAATATTCCATCCAATGTAAAGGTGAAGCAAAATGTTTAATAAAAAACTTTACTATTCATATCTAATGAAACAATAACAATAAATGACACAAACTATACTGTTACTAATTAATATTGTTATATTTTAAAGACTTTATTATAAGTTGTCTCCCATGTCAATCTCTAAAGTTGAAAAAACTTGTAGGAACTAACACATTAATCATCATTATTTTCCGTTCGAGTCCAAGGCACACGCGACAGATGAAGTAGAGTTTATCTATTTCAATGACCTCGGCATACAGGGTGGTAGTGTATTCACTACTATGTCCAGCCGCCTTAGTTTCACTAAAAAGAGTCAGATACCCATCAGAGCTGGGTGGACTCAGAAACGTCCTACACATTACAACCCGAACACATTAATATTTAATGTCAGACTTTTATATTGCAAAAAAACCAATATACATATACTAATAAATAAATAAATAATACATATGTATATATATATGTATATATAGCCCTATATATATAAATATTTTATATATATATATATATATATATATATATATATATATATATATATATATATATATATTTATATATATATATATATATATATGTATATATATATATATATATATATATATATATATATATATATATATATATATATATATATATATATATATATATATATATATATATATATATATATAGGCACAAATATATCATATCTATGTGCTGTTGCGGATTTGTTATCAATGCTTTTTTTTATACACAAAGCGGGCTGGATATTGTGGATTTTATTGTGAGTTTTTTGTATGGGTTTAATGGTGGATTTTATAGTGGATTTTATAGTGGATTTTATAGTGGATTTTATAGTGGATTTTATAGTGGATTTTTATAATGGATTTCATTGAAACTACAGCTGACAAGAGTATTTTCTGTTTTATAAGAATTTATTATTCTAACTAATGGAAGCAGTAATTGCATGCTTTTGTTTATAATCCGTCTGACTGTCAGCCTGTCCGTCAGAGTTTCTTCCAGGCATTGTTTCGGGGGAGGGGAGGGGGCTAAGCCTTTTTTTCTTTCTTCGAAATGACTGAAGTATACATACAATCAAGTTTTAATTAACAATTAACTGCCTAAAAAATACCCAACAATCAGTTTCTACTTTTTCAAACACGGCTGACTTGATTAATGTGCAATATATTCGGTTTTGTATCTTATCTAAAAACTAGCTATGATGTACCAAATTATAACTTGCAATATGTTCTCACCAAAAAAAAACTATTTATGGTATACCAAATTACAACTTTCCATATTTCTCAGTACCTGAGATTCCACCAATCTCTGTTGTAATGTTCTGGTTTCGTATCTCCTCTGAAGACTGACCATCTCCACATGTCAATCAAGTAGCCAAAGGGCAGGAATGCCACTCTGTTCAGTGCCATGCTCATCAGGAAGTTAATGTCAGCCTCTGAAATTTGAGAATTTGAGAATTTGAGAATTTGAGAATTTGAGAATTTGAGAATTTGAGAATTTGAGAATTTGAGAATTTGAGAATTTGAGAATTTGAGAATTTGAGAATTTGAGAATTTGAGAATTTGAGAATTTGAGAATTTGAGAATTTGAGAATTTGAGAATTTGAGAATTTGAGAATTTGAGAATTTGAGAATTTGAGAATTTGAGAATTTGAGAATTTGAGAATTTGAGAATTTGAGAATTTGAGAATTTGAGAATTTGAGAATTTGAGAATTTGAGAATTTGAGAATTTGAGAATTTGAGAATTTGAGAATTTGAGAATTTGAGAATTTGAGAATTTGAGAATTTGAGAATTTGAGAATTTGAGAATTTGAGAATTTGAGAATTTGAGAATTTGAGAAGTTGAGAAGTTGAGAAGTTGAGAAGTTGAGAAGTTGAGAAGTTAAGAATTTGAGAATTTGAGAATTTGAGAATTTGAGAATTTGAGAATTTGAGAATTTGAGAAGTTGAGAAGTTGAGAAGTTGAGAAGTTGAGAATTTTTTAATTTTTTAATTTTTTAATTTTTGAATTTTTGAATTTTTGAATTTTTGAATTTTTGAATTTTTGAATTTTTGAATTTTTGAATTTTTGAATTTTTGAATTTTTGAATTTTTGAATTTTTGAATTTTTGAATTTTTGAATTTTTGAATTTTTGAATTTTCGAATTTTTGAATTTTTGAATTTTTGAATTTTTGAGTTTTAAAACAAAACTGTTTTAAAATTCGGATCTTGACAATTTGCGGACGGGGCACCAAAAATGATATTCTAGCTCCATTGACTTTTTATAAAAGCTTGTTTTAATTCACCGTTATGTAACCTTGTGAAAAAAAAATGTGTTTTAAAACATGGGTGTTGTTTATGGCTAGCTTGTTACACAATCAACATTAAGCCAGATTTACGCATCTCTTAAATTCTCTTTTCTGACAGTGCAATACATGTTCAAGTAAACTTTGGACTTTTAGAGTTTAGTTACATTTTTACTTTTAAAAAGCTAACGTTTGGCCATTACAACCTCCTATAAAACTGACCTGTCCATGATAACTTCCTGTAAAACTGACCTGTCCATGATATCTTCCTATAAAACTGACCTGTCCATGATATCTTCCTATAAAACTGACCTGTCCATGACAACTTCCTATAAAACTGACCTTTCCATAACTTCCTATAAAACTGACCTGTCCATGACTTCCTATAAAACTAACCTGTCCATAACTTCCTATAAAACTGACCTGTCCATGACAACTTCCTATAAAACTGACCTGTATCGTTGGAAAGTTTGTCCATGATAACTTCCTATAAAACTGACCTGTATCGTTGGAAAGTTTGTCCATGATAACTTCCTATAAAACTGACCTGTCCATAACTTCATATAAAACTGACCTGTCCATGACAACTTCCTATAAAACTGACCTGTCCATGACAACTTCCTATAAAACTGACCTGTATCGTTAGAAAGTTTGTCCATGATAACTTCCTATAAAACTGACCTGTATCGTTGGAAAGTTTGTCCATGATAACTTCCTATAAAACTGACCTGTCCATAACTTCATATAAAACTGACCTGTCCATGACAACTTCCTATAAAACTGACCTGTCCATGACAACTTCCTATAAAACTGACCTGTATCGTTAGAACGTTTGTCCATGATAACTTCCTATAAAACTGACCTGTATCGTTGGAAAGTTTGTCCATGATAACTTCCTATAAAACTGACCTGTATCGTTGGAAAGTTTGTCCATGATAACTTCCTATAAAACTGACCTGTCCATAACTTCATATAAAACTGACCTGTCCATGACAACTTCCTATAAAACTGACCTGTCCATGACAACTTCCTATAAAACTGACCTGTATCGTTGGAAAGTTTGTCCAAGAGTTTGATTAGAACCAGATGTTCCGGTGTCTGAACAGACAGGGCCATGACGTCACCAACGGCTTCGTGGAACCCTGAAAAAAGGCGTGGTCTGTAGCTAAGCGTCTAAAGAGTATTAAGTCATGGTTTCATTTCTAAAGTGTCATGTTGTGGTCGAGCTCGGAAATCTAATACATTTCCTCTTTAAAATCTACTTTGGGTTTTAAAATGTTGACCTTTACTAAACCTCAGGCGTAAATATTACACGAGCTCCAGCGTTTCTTTCAGGCTTTTTTTCTCCGGGGGGGGGGCACTGGATATTTTCGGGGGGGGGGGGGGGGGGCGGACAACATTTTCCGGGGGGGGGGGGGGCGGATACTGGTAAAAGTAAGTATGTTTTCTATATAAATTCCATTTCTTTCGGGGGGGGGAGAGGCGGTAGACCTTCTTCGAGCGGCTGCCCCCCCCCCCCCTCCGAAGAGATGCCTGAAAGAAACTCTGACGAGCTCTCATTGTTTCTACCAGGCAAGACAACAAGACACATACGCTCAACTAGACATACGTCCTGCACTCATTATAAATAAATAACCTATAACCACCACTATGTAAATCTAGCCGGCACTTAACCGGCTACTGTCACAGATGACCCACCGTCATTAGCCCCGCTCCGGTAGAGAACCGGCTGGTTCTGGTACTGCATGTAGTACTGGACATGTCCCATCTCGTGGTGGACGGTGATCAGGTCCTTGTGACGGATACTGGTGCACATCTTAATCCTGCCGGCACATCATACAATCATCACACCAATCATAACATACGGTCATCACACCAATCACAACATACGGTCATCACACCAATCATAACATACAATCATCACAACAAATACATCATACAATCATCACAACAATCACAACATACAATCATCACACCAATCATAACATACGGTCATCACACCAATCACAACATACAATCATCACACCAATCATAACATACAATCATCACAACAAGCGCATCATACAATCATCACAACAATCACATCATGCAATCATCATAACAATCACAACATACAGCTATCACACCAATCACAACATACAATCATCACACCAATCACAACATACAACCATCAGACCAATCACAGTCAGTCATATCATCAATCATTAAATCATTCACATCATCAATCATTCCATACTGACATCACTATAAAAAAGCATCCAATCTTCTCATCATTTTACCTTTAAAAAATTAACATTGTAGCAACTTAGCTGTAAAATAAATGTAGTAAATAAAAGTAGTGCCAAGAAAATAGTACCTGAAATCATCGCGCGAAAACATGTCGAATGCTGTGCCCTGGCAGACGAACCCGCGGCCATCTTGTGGTTTCTGGACTTGCGAGAAGTTCCAGAACTTTTCAGTCATCTTGTCGAAGCCCAGGGAAACAAAGAAGTTCTCTGCTAGTCGGAACATTCTTTCCACGGTGTAGTTCTAGGGGAGAACATTCAAATGGAGAACATTCAAGGGGAGAACATTTAATTAGTTCTAGGGGAGAATATTCAAAAGGAGAACATTCAATTAGTTCTAGGGGAGAACATTCAATTAGTTCTATGGGAGAATATTTAATTATTCTTGGTGCAAAAAGTATAAAGCTTAATCGATTTGTTTTAGGGGTTTTCGACCCCCCCCCTCAAATCTACCAGCTTCCACGCCCTCCAAACTTTCACCCTCCCCCCTCCAATCTTTCACCCTCCCCCCTCCAATCTTCCAACTGACCTGATTTTTCATCTCTTTAGTTATATCCGGTGAGGTTTTGTCGGGGTAGGGCGTTACTATCGGGTAGACGTCAGACCATTTCTGGGCCCACATATCGCCTGTAACAAATGGTAAGGACTCGAAATTATGTTCGGCTCGCAAAAACAGGAAATCAAGTTTAGCAACACATAAGATAAACACTAGTTAGTATTAAACAATGTAATTATGAGTTTCAAGGAGTTTTGCGGGGTACAAAATGTGACGCCCGGCTTAATTAACCCAATTGTAATAAATACCAAACATTTTTTTTAAATAATTGAGGAAGTGGCTGTTGTGAGACTGGTTTGAATATGGAAAGTTAGTTACCAGAAGTGAGACCTTACCTAAAATATGTGCCGGTATATGGCCGGAAGAGAAACCTTACCTAAAATATGTGCCGGTATATGGCCGGCAGTCAAATCTTACCTAAAATATGTGCCGGTATATGGCCGGAAGTGAAACCTTACCTAAAATATGTGCCGGTATATGACCGGCAGTGAAACCTTACCTAAAATATGTGCCGGTATGTGACCTAAAATATGTGCCGGTATAAGGCCGGAAGAGAGACCTTACCTAAAATATGTGCCGGTATATGGCCGGCAGTCAAATCTTACCTAAAATATGTGCCGGTATATGGCCGGAAGTGAAACCTTACCTAAAATATGTGCCGGTATATGGCCGGAAGTGAAACCTTACCTAAAATATGTGCCGGTATATGGCCGGCAGTCAAATCTTACCTAAAATATGTGCCGGTATATGGCCGGCAGTCAAATCTTACCTAAAATATGTGCCGGTATATGGCCGGAAGTCAAATCTTACCTAAAATATGTGCCGGTATATGGCCGGAAGTGAAACCTTACCTAAAATATGTGCCGGTATATGGCCGGAAGTGAAACCTTACCTAAAATATGTGCCGGTATATGACCGGAAGAGAGACCTTACCTAAAATATGTGCCGGTATATGACCGGAAGCCGGAAACCTGTCAGCGCCGTAGATTTTCTTCAGTTTTCGCCGGACGTACGCGTGGAGCTGCTCGTAGAGGGGGCGAACCTGGGCGAACGTCGCCGCAATGTCCTCTTCGAAGGTGGGCGATTCGTACACGGCTCGCCAAGACTCGCCGATGTCTTTTCGCCCTGTTGTAGATGGGTAGACTTTAAAAGAGATCAGGTAAAGTAGAGTAGGTTTGAAAAAAACAACCAAATCACGTTCTTATAAGCTATAGTCCAAGCATTTGATAGTGTTGAAATTAATTTACATATACATCTGAAACCTCAAAACAATAAACCTTAATTTAGTATCTTTATAATTTTATGAAACTTATCCTTATAATTTTCACCTGTTCATTTGCTTATTGTTAATCATTAACTTGTTTACCTTAATCTGCATGTCAATGCATGTCAATACAATATTAAAAGTTTTTAACTTGAACCTTAACATACCCACCTATTCAGCGCCAGAATATAACCTTAACCTAGCCAGATATTACACTTAACCCTAACTTAACGCAAACACATTATAACCTTAACCCACCCACCTGTCTAACCCACCCACCTGTCATAACCTGAACCTACCCACGTGTCATAACCTGAACCCACCCACCTGTCTAACCCACCCACCTGTCATAACCTTAAGCCACCCACCTGTCATAACCTGAACCCACTCACCTGTCGAAACCTTAACCCACCCACCTGTCTAACCCACCCACCTATCATTACCTTAACCCACCCACCTGTCGAAACCTTAACCCACCCACCTGTCATAACCTTAACCCACCCACCTGTCATAACCTTAACCCACCCACCTGTCATAACCTTAACCCACCCACCTGTCATAACCTTAAGCCACCCACCTGTCTTACCTTAAGCCACCCACCTGTCATAACCTTAACCCACCCACCTCTCTAACCCACCCACCTGTCGAAACCTTAACCCACCCACCTGTCATAACCTTAACCCACCCACCTGGCATAACCTGACCCCACCCACCTGTCATAACCTTAAGCCACCCACCTGTCATAACCTTAACCCACCCACCTGGCATAACCTGACCCCACCCACCTGTCATAACCTGACCCCACCCACCTGTCTAACCTGACCCCACCCACCTTGTAACCTAACGGCTTCCGTCTGCAGCTCCACAAACTCAGCATACATGTCCTTCATCTTGGGTCCCGTGGCGTCTCGCCATCCCTGCCACGCCCTTAACAGCTCCTCGTAGTCCCTGGACTCGGCCATGAGAACTGACAGATCTGGGGGAGGGGGGGGGGGGGGAGGGGGGGGCGGGAATTGGAGAAACCGTGCTTCGTTAGTTATTGGACATGTCAGATCCAGGCAATGAAATGTCATGTCCGAAATATGTCATGGAATGACCAGATATTCATGTCAGGTATTAATAATGACATATCCAATCATAGCAATACAATGTACAATGGCATATCATAGCAAGAAATGTCATGACATCTTATGACAGACATTCAAAAGTCAAGTACTTGTGATTATTGTATGATTCAAATGATTTCCATATCAGACATTTAAATCATCCAGAAAGTAACACATCAAATCGGAACAGTGACATATCATAACATGTCATTCAAATGTCAATTCTTCAAACATAAACTAAACAACACAAAAAGACAAAATAGTAAGATCTCATTTTTATGATATTTTTTTGTGTTTCCGACATTTAATAATTGTAATTTTAGAATGAATAGAATAAATAAATGTCTTAATGTTTTTTACCAGGTAGAAAGAATAAAATAAATACTTGTCTTTAGGTGTTTTACCAGGTAGAAAGAATAAAATAAATAAATGTCTTAAGGTATTTTACCAGGTAGAAAGAATAAAATAAATAAATGTCTTAAGGTGTTTTACCAGGTAGAAAGAATAAAATAAATAAATGTCTTAAGGTGTTTTACCAGGTAGAAAGAATAAAATAATTAAATGTCTTAAGGTGGTTTACCAGGTAAAAAGAATAAAATAAATAAATTTCTTAAGGTGTTTTACCAGGTAGAAAGAACAAAATAAATGTCTTAAGGTGTTTTACACAGGTAGAAAGAATAAAATAAATAAATGTCTTTAGGTATTTTACCAGGTAGAAAGAATAAAATAAATAAATGTCTTAAGGTGTTTTACCAGGTAGAAAGAATAAAATAAATAAATGTCTTAAGGTGTTTTACCAGGTAGAAAGAATAAAACAAATAAATGTCTTAAGGTGTTTCACCATGTAGAAAGAATAAAATAAATAAATGTCTTAAGGTGTTTCACCAGGTAGAAAGAATAAAATAAATAAATGTCTTAAGGTGTTTTACCAGGTGAAAGAATAAAATAAATAAATGTCTTAAGGTGTTTTACCAGGTAAAAAGAATAAAATAAATAAATGTCTTAAGGTGTTTTACCAGGTAGAAAGAATAAAATAAATAAATGTCTTAAGGTGTTTTACCAGGTGGAAAGAATAAAATAAATAAATGTCTTAAGTTGTTTTACCAGGTAGAAAGAATAAAATAAATAAATGTCTTAAGTTGTTTTACCAGGTAGAAAGAATAAAATAAATAAATGTCTTAAGTTGTTTTACCTGGTTCCAGATCAAGACACCTGTCTTTAGAAAGACAGGCTTTGGCTTCACTGTAGATCTTTTCCATTTGAGACTTCAGGTGATTGACCTGTAAACATGAACGGTTCAACTGACGAGAGTTAGACTTGTGGTTTTCGGTTTTTTAATATCAATAAAATGTACAGTCTGCTTCCTTTAGGCTTGTGTTTTTCTGTCTTTTAATCTATGTAGAGCCAATCTCTTTTAGGCTAGAATAGGCTTTAGCTGCCTGATGTGTAAACCCCAGGACGAGATAAAGCAGTTCAGGGGTTCCTGTAAGTTAACTGGATCCCATTGGCATTATTTGGGTCCTACGACAATTATTAGGGTCCCGTTAAATAATAAGGTCAAGTGAACATAGTTTTGGGCTGTAGGCTGAAAATTCTTTTGACGAGCTGACAAAATGAAGTTTCAAGGATTAGACAATTGAAATCTTGAACCTATTTCACAAAATTGCATGTTATCAAATTCAGGGCCCCATACTAAGCCCAGCTAGCCCGTCTCTTTTATCCTCCACTGTTCTACTCCTGTAGCTCAGCACTAATGAAGTGGTAAAGTGAGTATGGATGTTCTAGTTACACGCAAAGGAGGAATTTGTCTTCAAAAACATTTTATCACAAAAACAAGTTTATTTAATCTACACTAAACTTAGTGTAATAAAAACATCTAGCTACATCATCACCTTTCCATACACCCTCCTCCTCTTGCCCATTGAAAACGTGCCCTTTTAATTTGGTAATTTTTTTGCTACCCCCCCCCCCCCAACCCCTCCCTTTTTCCAAATCCCCCCCCCCCCCCCATTGAAAACTTGCCCTTGTAATCTTGGTGACATTGGGCTGTGCTGATGAACCGGCGATACTGGAAAGCTGTCTTTTAAGGTCATAGGTCATTCTGGACAGGTTAAAGATGGCGGCTTCTTCGGCCATCCGCTGTGCGAACTCAGTTCTACGGAGTGATGCATTCAGCTGGAGATGACATGAGGTTAAAGGTTAAAGTTCAGCTGTGTTGTATTCAGCTGGAGATGGTGGGACACATGAGGTTCAAGGTTCAAGGTCAGGATAAAGTTGCTAGATGCTACCTCACATAACGTCTTCTATATTCTATGTGGCTACACCCCGAAACATCTTTGCTATTAGCTACCGGCTTTTAACGTTTATGGGAGTAGCTACCCCCCCCTTCCCCATGTAAGCTAGCATTTACCCTCTAATATTTAAGCTGGTGGCTACTCCTCTAAAGAATGTATGCTACTAGCTACCTCTCTAGCTACCCCCTCCATGTAAGTGTAACACATATGGTTACCAGCCAAGGGGGATAACAAATAAAGTTTTAATTCATTGAGTTGCGGCCCCTGTGGGGCCGTAGCCCTGTTGACGTAGTTATGTTGCATGCTCTTGTGAGCGATGCTACCTGTGTCCCATGTCGTGTGACATGGGACTATGAGTAGTTGCGTACCTAGCCGTGTCAGTCACACGCAAGGCTGCTGTCTGTGGACACGGTGACGGTACCAAGCTGTAGACCTAATGAAGGTAGTGTGGGTATATAAATTATGTTTATTGTTAAAATACTTATTTGTGTATTCCTGCTAGTGCTGCATGTGCACACTAGTTAGGTTGAGTATTTATATAAGTATTTATTTGTAGTACTACTTATTGGTACTTGTTGGCAGTACTGTGTAGCCTACTGGCCGAAACATATTTTATTGTACCCGTGTATATTGTAGCCTACACGTGGTGTTGTCATGAATGTAACTTTTTTTTACATTTGTTTTAGGGCTACAGTTTTTTGTCTTTCTTCAGTTTTTTCTCTCTGTTTTGTAATCGTCGTACTACTGTGTTATGCATCGCCGTCATGGCTCGATGCTGTAAATAAAGCCAGTACTTGACAACAACTGTCGGTGTTAGTTTGTCCTAAATCTCAGGGTCAGCCCGTCTTAACCTCAACACCTCAGTGGGTAAAAGCATCCCCACTGAGTGAGGGTTACATAAGCTAGCATCTGCCCTCTAATATTTAAGCTGGTAGCTACTCCCTTCAAGAATGTATGCTACTATCTACCTCTCTAACATGTAAACTTTTAGCTACCACCATTAAGTATGTATGCTACTAGCTACCCCTCTAAAGAGTGTATGCTACTAGCTACCCCTCTAAAGTGTGTATGCTACTACTAGCTACCCCTATACCATGTATGCTCGTAGCTACCTTTCTCTCCTCATTCTCTGACGTAATATTGGTCTCATATTCCCAGGTAGCCAACATGGCAGCATTCTTTATCAGCAGAGATTCTTCATTGTACCTGGCCAAAAACTTCTCGGCCATGTCTATTTCCGTCTCGTTGAAATCTCGCACCAAGTTGAACCTCTCGTCCATCTTAGGGCAGGTGGGCGTCCAGCCGAAGCTATAGCCGTTCTGAAGCTGTAGGGACGCGTACAGCGGCTGGAAGAACTCCAGCAGAGGCCCAGCGTCTAACGTCCTTGAACCTGTCATCATCTCCAATATATCTGGCCAGGGACGTGAGTTGCCAAGTTGGAGCATTTTTCTGACAAATTAAATTTTTAATTTTGCTTTATCTAATCAAATAAAACGGAAGTTATTTTAACTTTTAAAAAATCCACAGTTGTGTGTTAAATAAATCCACAACTAATGAAATATGTTTTTTCTAAAATAAAGCATTGGTTTGATTATCAAAGTCATATTATCATCAAAATTGCTTTAGTGTTGTTGTTTGTTTTTTAAATAAAATTTATTTTTATCTGATTTGTGTATTCAAACTAATACATAGCGGTGTAGGCCTACACATAGCACACAACACATATACACATATGACTAGAGATAACTAATATGATGGTGTATGCTGACTGCTGTGTCCTGTAATAAAATACACATATATTTCTTCTTGTATAGGTCCTACATTTAGTATAGCGTCCCCCCCCAATCTATCACAGTTAAAAATCCTGTCTACGCCCCTGGTGTGTGTACTTAATTCACTTCTCTTGTTTTGATCCAGCCTAACCAGGCCCGACCACTCAACGTGTACAGGTTTTAAACAACAGAGTTGTCCCGCCATAGCGTGAACTTACTTGAGCTTGTTGCCGAGCTCTAGAACTTACTTGAGCTTGTTGCCGAGCTCTAGGCTGCCGTCAAAGTGGCAGGTATGGAGCTGACCTTGGTGACCGGACAGCTGACAGGCGGCCTTGAAGATCTGGAACTGTACTACCACGGCCACAAGTTGTCTGGGGGGGGGGGAGGGGGGGGGGAGACCAATGTTTAGGTCGGTTATAAACAAATCTTTAGGTCAGTTAAAAACAATTTTTTAGAAAAGTGATTAAATCACTATAAAAAAAAAACAAATGCGTAGGGCACTTAAAAAATAGCTTGATTAGTAAAAAATAAGAATGATAAAACGTTCAGGTCAAATAACAAAAACAAATGTTTAGGAAAGTTTGACAAAAACAAATGTTTAGGAAAGTTTGACAAAAACAAATGTTTAGGAAAGTTTGACAAAAACAAATGTTTAGGAAAGTTTGACAAAAACAAATGTTTAGGAAAGTTTGAAAAAAACAAATGTTTAGGAAAGTTGACAAAAACTAATGTTCAGGTTTCTTAAAATTTGTTTGATAATTTTAAAAAAGCATCTTTAGGTGAGATAACAAAAACTAATGTTCAGGTTTCTTAAAATTTGTTTGATAATTTTAAAAAAGCATATTTAGGTGAGATAACAAAAGTTTATGTTCAGGAAAGTTTAAAACAGCTGCCTAATCTTCGATCGCTGATGACCTCTGGTCAAGTTATTGTCTAAAGGTCACGGTGACCTACCTGGTGGCTGGAAGGTCAGAGATCACGTGGTACTTGGAGGCAGCATCCAAGTTCATGGTCGACCTTGGCACCGGTGGAGAGAGACCTTGATAGCGGCATCTGAGGTCACATTGGAGGTCAAGGTCATATATTACTTTTTACCATGATACTGATACCAGGATTCTACATTAGCAAGTATTACCGAACCGGCTAAGTAAGTAACTTCCGGCCAGACCGGCAAAGTGAGATACCGCCGGCTCGACCGGCTCATTAAGTTGGTTTTTTAGCAAAATTTTAAAAAAATGAAACATGGAGAAAACTTCTTAATTTATCATTTTTTTAAGTAAAAGAAAATCACAACAATCCTGTATTTCTCCAGTTAAGAATCTTCAAGTGAACATACGTCATCAGGTACCTTAAGTCCCACCAGAGTCTGTTGATCTCAGGCAAGTCTTGACCACCCCTGGCAACTGACCAGCGCCATTTGTCCTGCACGAATGAGGAAACAATTTCTGGAACCTTCCTCAAGGCCAGGTCTAGCAGCGGTTGAAAGTCTGTAGATTAGAAGGTCAAGGTTGATTGAGTCCAGCTAGGTGTCAAGTCGTGGAGTGTCTAGTTAGTGATTTGTGTGTTTGTGTGTGTGTGTGTGTGTGTGTGCTTGTATGTGTGTGTGGAGGTATTTGTTTATTCCGTTGTGTGTCCATATGGTATGTGCGCAAAGTTCTCAGATGTGTGTATGATATGTGTAAGACATACATATGTGTGTGTACTTTGCGTTTATATAGTGTTATAGTGTATGTATGAAGCATGCATGTTTATATGACGTATGCCAAGATGTATCACGTATGAATTCAAACGTGAGCTTGTAGGTGACGTATATGCCTTTAGTGAGACGTGCGGAACGTGTATGACGTGTGATGCATGTATGACGTATGCACATCCCACCTCGTGTTTGGTTCCACTCCGCCATTTTGTTCCCATACCGTTGTCTGTTGCTGAGTGACAGGGCGATGACGTCACCGATAGCCCGCCCCATCCCTGAAACATGAAACGACTTTTAATCTGGTGCCAGCCAAATTGTCTGACATTTCATGGAGTCTGGTTTTATTTCTCGGCATGTTTAGGGGCTGCCCTTTTATGACATCATATTGCTGGGACGGCGGGCAGGGTTACCTTCAGACCCCCCCCCCCAGGTGATACTTCCGTGGGGTCACTTAAAACTTTGAGGGTGGGGAGGGGCACTTGAAATTTCAATGGGTGGGGGAGGGGGAAAAAGTTATATACTTATAAATATTGTTTTATATCAATTTAATATTTTTCTATTTTAGATCTGGTTACGCACACGGTATTGTTGAGCATTGTCTGTGTGCTTTATGACAGCCTGCTGTATGACAGCCTGCTGTATGGTAGCTTACTCTATGACAGCCTGCTGTATGAATACCTGCTGTATGACAGGTTTAGATGACCCAGGTACTCACCAGGTAACGCTTCCAGTCTGTACAGGTAAGGCTGGTCTCTGGCGTACATCGAGTACAGGATCTCTCCCATCTGACTGTAAGTTTCCAGAAGCTTCTCGTCTGTCAGGCTCTCGTTTTGGTTTAACCTGGTGGATATAGGACTTAGTTACCGTTTGTTCTGACCTATGTGTGGGATGGTATGGTCCGGCCGCAGTTAATTTTCCCAACACAACTCAGGCACTCATAAAGTGCTGAGTAAACTCAGGAACATACTAAGATCCCAAATCCCTGACTTGAATTTGAAACTTTCGGGGTTAGAAATCGTGTGCTCTACCGGTCACCCACATTTAAAGTTGTAATTGTTGACTTTAAACTTGTTGACGGAGCTACAACACGATGAAATGAAGAGCGGACAAAACGATCAGGATCTTTAGTGTTTTTGTCGGCAATGTTAACAGATATAGGTTTATACACCTGGTTAAGTGGCCGACTAATGTTAACAGATATAGATTTTTCACCTGCTTAATGCGGAAGTTACAAAGTTCTGGGTAGTTGCTGGACACTTGCTGATGTTTGATTGGATGAGAAATTCGGTCAAGGTCGACCCGACCTCGATGAGTCCAAGAGAGGAGAGGTGGTCGAGGTAAGGCTGGAGGAGTGTGGCCGGGGTTCGATCCTGGGAGAGAGAGAGAGATCAGCTGACTTAAATATTCGTGAGGATGGCTGATGGTGAGTGGGGGAGAGAGGGAGCACAGATGTGGGATGCCGGTAAGGTTTGTGTGCGTACATTTATGTGTGTGTGTGTGTGTTTCTGTGTGTCTGTGTGTTTTCTTATGTGGGAGTTATGAGAAATCTATAAAATTAGTAAATTACCTTCGAAGTGACGTCAGTCGAGAGGTCAGGTTGTTCTTCGGCTGTTTCCTGGCTCTTGATAACCTTGACCCAGTTTTCTTCCCACAAATCACCTGGATATTTTTTTAAATCTCAAAATTAATAAACACTTTCAAAATTTTAATTTGTAATAATTTAAAGAATTTTTTTAGTGGTTAGTATCTGATGATTTTTAAAAAGGTCCTATTTTTTTAAATTTTTAATGAAATAACTTCTAATAAATAACATATTACCCGAAAAAAAATATATAAATGAGCTGAGGGAGAACAGTGTTTCTTCCAGACTTTTTTCTCCGGGGGGAAACCTTGATATTTTCAGGGGGGGGGGGGGTGGACAACTTTTCCCTCGGGGCGGACACGTAAAAGTATGTTTTCTATATAAATTCCATTCTCTCTTTTTTTGGGGGGGGGGGGGGGGTGGTAGACTTTTTTCGGGGAGAAGAACCCTCCCCCCCCTCCACCCAGACCCCCGAAGAGATGCCTGGAAGAAACTCTGTGGGAGAAACACAAATTCTGCATGACAAATTTCAGAATTCGAAACGACAAATGTATGTACCGATGAGGTGGGCGGGGATGTGGCCTGTCTCAGGGAGGTTATCACCCCTGTAGACTCCCCTCAGCTCCTGTAGGGTGTAGGCCTGAAGCTGGACGTACAGAGGCGTCACCTGCTCCAGGAGCTGCTCGAAGTCGGCTTCAAAGCTGGAGGATTCGTACGCAGAGTTCCAGAAATCCGCAACATTGGAGCCTGACAATAGAGGAAATTTAAATTTATTGGTTGTTAAAATATTTAATTATCCCAATTATCCCAATTACCCCAATTATCCCAATTATTCCAATTAGTCCAATTATCCCTATTATCCTAATTATCCCTATTATCCCTATTATCCCTATTATCCCAATCATTCATATTATCCCAATTATCCCTATTATCCCAATTATCCCAATTATCCCAATCATCCCAATTATCCCAATTATCCCAATTATTCCAATTATCCCAATTATCCCAAGAGAATTTTCAACTGATGAATGTTCTGGTCCAACCTACCCGATTCTCTGGCCAACTGAGTATACTGCAAGTAGTTCTGCTTGATCTTCCGTCCTGTGACGTCATGCCAGGCTGTCCAGACGTCCAGCCGCTGATTGTAGTCTTGTGGGAGGTCAAGGTCACGGATGTCACTCACGTCTGCCGGAAGAAAGGCCACATGTGTGTTACCTAACATCATTAGCCGTCTTCAAGATGTTAATTAAAAAAAATTAAAATGTGTATCGTATTCATGTGAGACATTTTTTTACGTGGAGCAACTAATACGATCACCATACACTGGTCAAAAGTTTCCATTGTCTTTTATAAATCTCTAGACTTGTTCGAGAAAAAAAAAACTTTTTTTTAAAATTTCTATCCAGATGTGAGATTAAAAGAGGAATAGGGTGTAGAGAGGACCTTTGTTGCCTTAACTCGACTTTCATCAGAGAAACTTAAATTAAACAAGTGCCACTAATCCCTTTGGTTTAATCTCCTTTAATCTTAACCAAACAGTGGCTTAAGTACCTGATCCTAATCCCCAGCATTGGCTGTCAGCCAGACAGACCTTGGCATTGAGGTACGTGTACAACAGGTTGGCCTTGACCTCCTGCAGCTGAAGTTGACAAGAAATTATTGAGATAAGCTCTTAATTCATAATGTGTAAACAGATGAGTACTTAAGTCATAACTTGTAACAAGATGAGCACTTAAGTCATGTTGTAACAAGATGAGCACTGAAGTCATAACTTGTAAAAAGATTAGCACTGAAGTCATAACTTCTAAAAAGATTAGCACTGAAGTCATAACTTGTAAAAAAGATGAGCACTTAAGTCATAACTTGTAAAAAGATGAGCACTGAAGTCATAACTTGTAAAAAGATGAGCACTGAAGTCATAACTTGTAAAAAGATGAGCACTTAAGTCATAACTTGTAAAAAAGATGAGCACTTAAGTCATAACTTCTAAAAAGATGAGCACTTAAGTCATAACTTCTAAAAAGATGAGCACTGAAGTCATAACTTGTAAAAAGATGAGCACTTAAGTCATAACTTGTAAAAAAGATGAGCACTTAAGTCATAACTTGTAAAAAGATGAGCACTGAAGTCATAACTTGTAAAAAGATGAGCACTGAAGTCATAACTTGTAAAAAGATGAGCACTTAAGTCATAACTTCTAAAAAGATGAGCACTGAAGTCATAACTTGTAAAAAGATGAGCACTGAAGTCATAACTTGTAAGAACATGAGCACTGAAGTCATAACTTCTAAAAAGATGAGCACTGAAGTCATAACTTGCAAAAAGATGAGCACTGAAGTCATAACTTGTAAAAAGATGAGCACTGAAGTCATAACTTGTAAAAAGATGAGCACTTAAGTCATAACTTCTAAAAAGATGAGCACTGAAGTCATAACTTGTAAAAAGATGAGCACTGAAGTCATAACTTGTAAGAACATGAGCACTGAAGTCATAACTTCTAAAAAGATGAGCACTGAAGTCATAACTTGCAAAAAGATGAGCACTGAAGTCATAACTTGTAACAAGATGAGCACTTAAGTCATGTTGCAACAAGATGAGCACTTAAATCATGTTGCAACAAGATGAGCACTTAAGTCATGTTGCAACAAGATGAGCACTTAAGTCATGTTGCAACAAGATGAGCACTTAAATCATGTTGCAACAAGATGAGCACTTAAGTCATGTTGCAACAAGATGAGCACTTAAGTAATGTTGTAACAAGATGAGCACTTAAGTCATAACTTGTAACAAGATGAGCACTGAAGTCATGTTGCAACAAGATGAGCACTGAAGTCATGTTGCAACAAGATGAGCACTTAAGTCATGTTGTAACAAGATGAGCACTGAAGTCATGTTGCAACAAGATGAGCACTTAAGTCATGTTGTAACAAGATGAGCACTTAAGTCATGTTGTAACACGATGAGCACTTAAGTCATGTTGTAACAAGATGAGCACTTAAGTCATGCTGCAACAAGATGAGCACTGAAGTCATGTTGTAACAAGATGAGCACTGAAGTCATGTTGTAAAGAGATGAGCACTGAAGTCATGTTGTAACAAGATGTGCACTGAAGTCATGTTATAACAAGATGAGCACTTAAGTCATGTTGTAACAAGATGTGCACTGAAGTCATGTTGTAACAAGATGAGCACTTAAGTCATGTTGTAACAAGATGAGCACTGAAGTCATGTTGTAACAAGATGTGCACTGAAGTCATGTTATAACAAGATGAGCACTTAAGTCATGTTGTAACAAGATGAGCACTTAAGTCATGTTGTAACAAGATGAGCACTTAGGTCATGTTGTAAAGAGATGAGCACTTAAGTCATGTTGTAACAAGATGAGCACTTAGGTCATGTTGTAAAGAGATGAGCACTTAAGTCATGTTGTAACAAGATGAGCACTTAAGTCATAACGAGTAAAAAGATGAGCACTTAAGTCAAGTTGCAACAAGATGAGCACTTAAGTCATGTTGCAACAAGATGAGCACTTAAGTCATGTTGTAACAAGATGAGCACTTAAGTCATAACGAGTAAAAAGATGAGCACTTAAGTCAAGTTGCAACAAGATGAGCACTTAAGTCATGTTGCAACAAGATGAGCACTTAAGTCATAACTTGTAACAAGATGAGCACATAAGTCATGTTGCAACAAGATGAGCACTTAAGTCATGTTGCAACAAGATGAGCACTTAAGTCATAACTTGTAACAAGATGAGCACTTAAGTCATGTTGCAACAAGATGAGCACTTAAGTCATGTTGCAACAAGATGAGCACTTAAGTCATAACTTGTAACAAGATGAGCACTGAAGTCAAGTTGCAACAAGATGAGCACTTAAGTCATGTTGCAACAAGATGAGCACTTAAGTCATGTTGCAACAAGATGAGCACTTAAGTCATAACTTGTAACAAGATGAGCACTTAAGTCATGTTGTAACAAGATGAGCACTTAAGTCATGTTGTAACAAGATGAGCACTGAAGTCATGTTGTAACAAGATGAGCACTGAAGTCATGTTGCAACAAGATGAGCACTTAAGTCATGTTGTAACAAGAAAAGCACTTAAGTCATGTTTTAACAAGATGAGCACTTAAGTCATAACTTGTAAAAAGATGAGCACTTAAGTCATGTTGTAACAAGAAAAGCACTTAAGTCATGATACAACAACATGAGCACTTAAGTCATGTTGCAACAAGATGAGCACTGAAGTCATAACTTTCAACAGCACTAAAGTTATACCAACAAGATGAGCACTTTTGTAAAAAGTTGCACTGAAAGTCTAAACAAAAATCTTGGCGACTTACCTGAGTGTAGGTGATGTTGTTGAGATCTCGCTGTGTGTCGCGAGAAACGACGAGATGAAGTTGCCTGGTGATGTCATGGGGCATTACTGACGTGTTGAATTGTTTGGCTTGTTCGGCTTGCTGTCTGTAAAACTGTCCTAGTTTGATCTCTGATGATACCTTCAGTAAACAGTGTCAAAGTTGTTCAAGTAATAGGTAACTTATGGGTTACTGAAAGTTCTTTAAGTAATAGGTAACTGACTTACTTATGGACTGCTAATTCATAAGTGACTAACTCATGGGCCACTGGCCAACTTTGGCCCTCTGTGTTTCTCTTAAACCATTGGCTAACTCATTAACCATTAACTCATAGATCAATGAACATCTCATTGTTCAGTGACCCACTCATATATCACACCTAGAACTTTTGATATATCACTTTCAGTAAATCTATCACTAATTTAAAAAACAAAAACTCTACCCAAATATTTTTGTTGTCATCCGTCATATCGTCACGGAAAGCCCCAAACGCCCCATCTCTGTCACAGTTTGAGACCCGCGCCTGTGTGGTGTGTGCCTCTATAAACGACAGAACCGCTGTAATCTCTGCGTCATTGAACGTGACGTTGGTGTTGAGGTACTTGGGCAGAGGCGTGGGACAATGGGGGTCCCAGCCGTAGTCGTCTCCGTTTTGTTTCTCCAGGAATTCCAGGAGGGGTTGGAAATATTCCATCAGCGCTGAGGCGTCCATCTTGTCTTGGCCAGTAATCGCTCGCATAGCCTCTGGCCATTTCTTAGAACTCCCCATCTCTAGCATGGCCCTGTTGTTTTAAAATTCTTAATTCAGACAGGATATTGGATGATGTTGAAACGTTTTTAGTTGTTTATTTTTTAATCGGCTGTTAAAAAATGCAAATATTATTTCTTTTCAGTTTATCATTTTTAGAGCAACTTGTTCTGTCTTTGATAGGCATGCACCTGGATAAGTTACCTGCAAGTGGTACCAAGACCCACCTTGTGCTGTTATGTTACCTGACTATGTCACTTGGTTGGGTACCTAGTCGGGTCACCTATATAGTCACCCGGCTGTGCAATCTCTCATTGTCATGTTAACTGGTTGCGTCACCTGGTTGAGTCACCTGGTTGGGTCACGTAGTTGGGTCGCCTGGTTATGCCACCTACTCTAGCACCAAGACTCGCCTGATCAAGTCCCCCCCCCCTCCCCAACCTTGCTCCCATAGATGTTACACCTGTGTAGTGGCCCCGTGTGGCACCAAGACTCACCTGATCCTGGCCCCAGCAGCCTTGCTCCCATAGATGTTACACCTGTGGCCCCGTGTGGCACCAAGACTCACCTGATCCTGTCCCCAGCAGCCTTACTCCCATAGATGTTACACCTGTGTAGTGGCACCAAGACTCACCTGATCCTGTCCCCAGCAGCCTTACTCCCATAGATGTTACACCAGTGTAGTGGCCCCGTGTGGCACCAAGACTCACCTGATCCTGTCCCCAGCAGCCTTGCTCCCATAGATGTTACACCTGTGTAGTGGCCCCGTGTGGCACCAAGACTCACCTGATCCTGTCCCCAGCAGCCTTACTCCCATAGATGTTACACCAGTGTAGTGGCCCCGTGTGGCACCAAGACTCACCTGATCCTGTCCCCAGCAGCCTTACTCCCATAGATGTTACACCTGTGTAGTGGCCCCGTGTGGCACCAAGACTCACCTGATCCTGTCCCCAGCAGCCTTGCTTCCATAGATGTTACACCTGTGTAGTGGCACCAAGACTCACCTGATCCTGTCCCCAGCGGCCTTGCTCCCATAGATGTTACACCTGTGGCCCCGTGTGGCACCAAGACTCACCTGATCCTGGCCCCAGCATCCTTGCTCCCATAGATGTTACACCTGTGTAGTGGCACCAAGACTCACCTGATCCTGTCCCCAGCGGCCTTGCTCCCATAGATGTTACACCTGTGTAGTGGCCCCGTGTGGCACCAAGACTCACCTGATCCTGTCCCCAGCATCCTTGCTCCCATAGATGTTACACCTGTGTAGTGGCCCCGTGTGGCACCAAGACTCACCTGATCCTGTCCCCAGCGGCCTTGCTCCCATAGATGTTACACCTGTGTAGTGGCCCCGTGTGGCCAGCAGCCTGACATGCAGCCTTGTGGAACTGGAACTGGATGACGACACTGACAAAGTACCTGGGGACGGGGAGAGTAAAATGTGTTTACACCTACGTCCGCACGCACTATGCCACTAGTTATGTTCGTACCCGTCGTAACCCCGACCCACTAGTTAGGTCCTTACACCCATGTATCAACCCTTGTAGCCCCACTATAAGAATGGGCTACAGGGGGCCTCGCCTCTCTTATATCCTAATAATAATTATTATTTCGCAACAAATTTTATATAGAATCACACATAGTCTACGATAAAATAAATGTTTAAAAAAATAGTTCTTAGAATAATATATAAAATCTAAACGTGTTTCTTCCAGGAAATATTTTAATGGTCTTGAGTCTATATATTTATCTGGCATGTTTGTCTATTTATAGGCTACTAACCGGATGTAAGCGGTGTTAGCTGCGACGTGGTACTTGGCCCCTGGGTCAAAGTCTGCTTCAGATCGTGGGACGGGGGGTGACAGGCCCTGGTAGCGACACCTGGAGACAGTATGAGGCGATGAGGTTAAACCACTCAGAAAAAAAAAATAGTCCTGGAATTTATCTCTGGTTCATTATCTTAGAATTAGTTCACCACTTTTCATTGCTTGAATTTTGTGAACATATCGGTACACGATTTAGTTTATACGCAACTTTTAATAGTAAATGCAGATGGCCAAGTCTAATTTCTCTGATCCTCTCCATGCTTATATTCACCGTATTGACTATCTCCTATCTCCCCCCCCCCCCCCCCGCCCACATATAAAAACTTACTTCAGGTTCCACCAATCACGGTTGTAGTTTTCTGGACTCGTGTCATTTCTAAAAATAGACCATCGCCAGAGGTCAATGATGTAACCAAAGGGAAGGAAGGCGACCTTCTGGAGCGCCATCTCCAACAGGAAGTTAATGTCCGCCTCTGGAAATCAAAGTACTGCTCTAATACAGACTTAATACAGACTTATTACAGTCTTAAAACAGACTTATTACAGGCTTATTACAGACTTAATACAGACGTAATACAGTCTTAATACAGACTTAATACAGACTTATTACAGACTTAAAACAGACAATACAGACTTAATACAGACTTAATACAGACTTAATACAGACTTCATACAGACTTAATACAGACTTATTACAGACTTAATACAGACTTAATACAGACTTATTACAGACTTAATACAGACTTAACACAGACTTATTACAGACTTAATACAGAATTAATACAGACTTAATACAGACTTATTACAGACTTATTACAGACTTATTACAGACTTATTACAGGCTTATTACAGACTTATTACAGGCTTATTACAGACTTAATACAGACTTAATACAGACTTATTACAGACTTATTACAGGCTTATTACAGACTTAATACAGACTTAATACAGACTTAATACAGACTTAATACAGACTTATTACAGACTTATTACAGGCTTATTACAGGCTTATTACAGACTTAATACAGACTTAATACAGACTTATTACAGACTTATTACAGGCTTATTACAGACTTAAGACAGACTTAATACAGACTGAATACAGACTTACTACAGATATAATACAGACTTAATACAGACACCCTTACCTGTGCTGGTGACGTCATGTGGCAGAAGACCGATCTGATGGAGATAGCTGGGGGGGGGGGGGCTAGACAACCTTACCTGTGCTGGTGACGTCATGTGGCAGAAGACCGATCTGATGGAGATAGCTGGGGGGGGGGGGCTAGACACCCTTACCTGTGCTGGTGACGTCATGTAGCAGTAGACCGATCTGATGGAGATAGCTGGGTGGGGGGGGGGGGGGAAGGGGCTAGACAACCTTACCTGTGCTTGTGACGTCATGTTGCAGAAGACCGATCTGATGGAGATAGCTGGGGGGGGGGGGGGCTAGACAACCTTACCTGTGCTTGTGACGTCATGTGGCAGAAGACCGATCTGATGGAGATAGCTGGGGGGGGGGGCTAGACACCCTTACCTGTGCTGGTGACGTCATGTGGCAGATGACCGATATGATGGAGATAGCTGGGGGGGGGGGGGAAGGGGCTAGACACCCTTACCTGTGCTGGTGACGTCATGTAGCAGTAGACCGATCTGATGGAGATAGCTGGGGGGGGGGGGGGCTAGACAACCTTACCTGTGCTGGTGACGTCATGTGGCAGAAGACCGATCTGATGGAGATAGCTGGGGGGGGGGGGGGGGGGCTAGACACCCTTACCTGTGCTGGTGACGTCATGTTGCAGAAGACCGATCTGATGGAGATAGCTGGGGGGGGGGGGCTAGACAACCTTACCTGTGCTGGTGACGTCATGTGGCAGAAGACCGATCTGATGGAGATAGCTGGGAGTCTGGACGGACAAGGAAATGAGGTCACCCACGGCCTCATGGAACCCTAAGATAGAAATGTCTGGAGGTTAAAGTGACCTTTGGGTGACCTGGAAATGGGCAACGTTCTGGTCTAGCGTTAAAGTGTCAAGGCTAGTTGTTGTTTTTTTTTTTTTTTTTTTTTTTTTTTTTTTTTTTTTTTTTTAAACAAAGGCTTAGATTCAGGACCGGCGCTACCTTTAAGGCGAACTAGGCGGTCCCCTATGGCCAGATCACTAGAGGGGCGCAAAAGGTGTAATCGCCATTATCAAAAAGTACCTAATGATAAATAACTTTGATTATCTTTTATTAACTATAAATTGTGATATAAAAATGCGTAGCAATCTATTTCAGCGCCTAGGACGAACTATCAATTTTGCGCCCCCACCCCCAAATTAGGTCTATATAGGCTTGCATTTATTCGCGATGGTGAAAATGCAACTCCACCTCCCTAATTTGGAAAGGGAGGTGCGCTTTTTAATTTGGTATCACATAATTGATGTAGGAAGTCCGTAATTTAAATTTCGAACATTTCAAACCGTTATCTTCTTTCTTCTTTTTCGTTCTTAACTTTTAGTGTTGGAAGGGGTCGAGCCTTATCTTCTAGAGGGTTTTAACTCGAAACTTTCTTTTTCGAATTTTATCAACCATGAGCTTTGCTGACTCGACCACGCCTCCATCACAATTAAGCGTTACGTGACAACTGGTTATGCAGTTGCTGCAGTTATGCTAAAGAGTGGCTGTCCCCAGCTAACGAGCCTCATCTGCCCGAGGGTTCGAACTCGAGACTTTTCGCTCTAGCAACCATGAGCTTTACCGACTCGACCACGCCGACCCCTAACCGTTATCTAATTTTAATGTTGATTTGGTGATCGCTCCAGCGCATGACGGGGCGTTCCAAAATACGTGCAATTTTGGTTTTTAATAGGGCTTGTAAGTCTCGTTTTCTCTGACTTTGAATTAGAAATCTGTTCTGGTGTAGGCCTATAGATTTATGTAATGACGAGGTGTTCAAAGTATGTTATTTGTTAATTGGCTGTTATCGTGTAGTTGTAGGTCTAGTCTATTCTGATTGCTAGTAGAGAAATAAGAATGTAGGTGATGAAGTATCGTTGTTCTGAAGTCCGGGAGTATCGAACATTGCGATATTAAGGTATCGAAGTGTGTTGAACATTATCGTCCAATTAAATCGTTGTTGATTGGGAGTATCGTTTGTAGAGCATGGTGAACTTAAGCGAGGTGGTATCGTAGTTCTGGAGCATCGAGTCTAGTTATGTTTAAGTTTAAGTATCGAAGTTTGATATGCGTTGTTAGAGTAGTCGAGCTTATCATACGTTGGACGGAACACACTACAAAGAAAGGTAGGCGTCCTTTAGCTAAAAAATCTTGAGTTGTATGGGGTTTTTTTTTATATCTATAATACCACTCTTAAAATATTGATATAAAAATATTATACAGGCTGGACATTTTAACAAGCCATTAACTTTTTTTTTTAAATTATTATTTTTTAATATTTAAACAATATTTATTGCAATTTGTTAAACAGTAACTCGTATTTGAAATGTTTTTAAGGCGTCCCATAATTTATAGAGATCCAAAATAAAATTTGCAATTTCCGTTAACGCAAAGTCAAGTAATGGCATGTCATCGCAATTGACTAGAAGTGTGTTATTATAAAGCTACTGTTTATACTTTCTAACAACCTACAGTTAAGTAGTCAATTGGTAAAATATATTGTTTTGACAATGTTTTATAATTAAAACAAACAAAAAATTAGGTATAATGATTATGTAATGAAATTTAAAAGAGTTTTATTGTGTTTTTCAAGCATTTTCTTAATTTAGCTATTCTTGTCAAAGTTATTTCCCTTGAATAAAATTTTGGTATTTGGATTTACACATGACAGATAATTCGTTGCTTAACTCTACATTCGTTTCAAATTCCTCACCTTTAGGTTGACCGCCTTCTTATTAATACAACTTCAAGTCATTATTTGCTTTTGTAATAATTATATAGAGCTTAAATTCTAAACAAAATAGTTTGAAAGGTTTTTTTAGCATTATCAAGTTGAAAAAAAAATGCATCAGTAGCCGTTGTAGACTAATATTTCATGTTAGTAGACACACAGCAGGAGATGGGGGGGGGGGGGGGTATGTCGTAAAGTACACGCTTGGACTTGGCAACAATTTTAATAGAATGTAATTACGCTTTCACACTGGAATTGAAGGAATTAGTACAAACTTTTGCGACGAAGGAGGCAAGTAAAATTTGATTTTGGTGTCTACATATACCGTTTATACAATTTATAATAAATTAATATTGATTAATTTGTTGTGAAAGGGGGCGCTTTAATAAGTTTTGCCTAGGGCGCTAAATAACCTGGCGCCGGCACTGCTTTGATTGAAATTTAATTGTCAGGTGATCGGGTTCGGGTAAATGTTAAAATTTAATTAAACTAAAATATTCTTGTCAGGCCTTCTATTTATAGAACAAATAAAGTAAAATTTATCTATTTCTTTGACCTCAGTTTATACAAGTTACATAGTCAACACTTTGTCCAGCTGCCTTTACTATATATGACTTGGGTCAGGTACTCATTTGAGCTGGGTGAACACGTCCGAGATTTACAGACTCGAGTACGGGATTCAAACTCGCGACTTTTGATTTAGCGACATTGTGCTCTATCTCTTAACCACATGGTCGAAAGGCATTCATCGTGAATCATCGTGAATCATCGTGAATCATCGTGAATCATCGTGCATCATCGTGAATCATCGTAAATCATCGTGAATCATCGTGAATCATCGTGAATCATCGTAAATCACCGTGAATCATCGTGAATCATCGTGAATCATCGTAAATCATCGCGAATCATCATGAATCATCGTGAATCATCGCGATCAAATTGTAAAATATACATATCCTCACGTTAGCCTCAACCAAAAAAAAAAACGTAACCCTAATCCCCGATGTTAATCCGACCTGGATTAGCGCCGTGCCTGAATGTGGAGGGCTGGTTGCTGTAGTGCATGTAGTACTCGATGTGTCCCATCTCGTGGTGAGCCGTCACCAGGTCCGCCTTGTTGATGTCTGTGCACATCTTTATCCTGGTCAGCACATCACACATCAGAAAAAAAAACATCAACAAAAAAAACTTAATCAACCACAAAAATAAACAATTTGGCTTTAAACTCTTTCAGTCAGTTTGTCATGATTCGCGATTTCTTCTTATTGGTATAAATTTTTTAAATCTCTTGGCCAACAAATTTAAATACCCAGTTAAGCGTTAAGCTGGAGTATCAAATCTCTCCGCATATTTCTCTGTTGCCCACCATGATTAAATAAACCGGGAGTGATCTCCCCTAAAATTTCTCGGATATTCTAATATAAAACTACGAGGGATGGCAACTCAGGACATAGACAATATTTGTAATCCATTTTTAATAATTACTTAAACTTTTTATAATAGAATGGAATCTCGTAAAAAAAAGAATTGCACACTAAGTGAACGCCTAATAAAATGTGCATAATAGTGCGCAATATTATTAGTACTTTAAAAATTTACGTGCGTTTTTTGAGAAATCGGAAATAGCGTAAAATAGTACTTCCGGTCAACGGAAATTACTCAAAATTTGACAGAAGGTAGAGAATTAGATCTTTTACTTACATGTGAAATTTCATTTATCTATCTGAAATAGTACTCAAGTTATAGGCTTTTGAAAAATTCAAAGTAGAAAAAGTACCACTTCCGGTTATTGGAAATCGCTCAAAAGTTGATACGGATCTACGATTTTGATAAAATACTTATATATGAAATTTCATCAATCTAGCTGTAACGGTACTCAAGTAATCGTGTTTACACACAGACACACACACACAGACACACATACAGACACACAGACATACGGACAAGATTGCAAAATTATGTTTTTCCGTATCAGTGAGGTGTAAAACGTCGAGATTTGAAAACATCTCGATTTTTTTTCCACGATTACAATACTTTCTCTATACTTCGTATATACGAGAAAGTAAAAATGATTCTTCAGCCATATTACAGGTAAAAGTTGAAAGTCGTCGTCGTCTTTACTTTTCAACAAGTTACTACAAGCGACTACAAGAAATCTGTTTTTGTGACACCAAAAACTCATTTCTAACCATCCATCCCTACAGATACACGATAGTTTCGGGTGAGCAAGTGTGCTCTGCCAATCCCCAATCCTTCCTCTTTCCATGAGATACAAACAAACCATCACTATGACATCATAGCTGCCTTTATTTCTTCACCAAGATCAATCAGGTCAGTGCACTGTCCTACCCCTTCAAATCTTGACGATCCATGAGGCAGCTGAAGTAGAGTTCACCTGTTTCTGTGATCTCTGCATATGACTGGACAGTGGCCAGTACTATGCTCAACGTGAGGCAGGTACCATCACACCTGCATGGACATATACATTATACCGAGTCGGGCCTGGTATCCGAACTCGAGACTATCGGATTAGCAGTCGTGCGCTCTACCGTCCGACCATCCCGTCCCCTACTCTCACAGCAACTGACCTGTAATCGTCTGTCTTAGAAAAGTCCCAGGCCGACCCATGACACACAAACTTGCGGCCGTCTGCTGGCTTGACTAGCTCCGATTTGTTCCAGAAGGTTCCTGTCATGTTTTTTAGACCGATGGAAGAGAAGAAGCTCTCAGCGAGGTGAAAGATTTTATCCACTGTGTAGTTCTGTGGATAAGTCAAAAATATTTTATCCACTGTAGATAAGTCAAGAAAATATTGTATCCCCTATTTATGGATTTCTTACAGTTATTAATAAACCGGGAGTGATCTCCCCTAAACTTTCTCGAATATTCTTATATAAAATAACAGGGGATGGGAACTCGGGCTATAGACATGATTTTTAATCCATTTTAAATACTTAAAGTTTTAAAAATAGAATAAAATCTCGTAGACAAATTAATTGCACAACAATTGAACGCCAAATAAAAAGGCGCATAATAGTGCGCAATATTATTAGTACTTTTAAAATTTAAATTAGTTTTTTGAGAAATCGGAAGTAGCGTAAATTACTATTTCCGGTCAATGTAAATTACTCAAAATTTAACAGAAGGTAGAGAATTAGATCTTTTACTTACATGTAAAATTTCATTTATCTATCTGAAATAGTACTCAAATTATAGGCTTTTGAAAAATTCAAAGTAGGAAAAGTACCACTTCCGGTTATCGGAAATCGCTCAAAAGTTGATACGGATCTACGATTTTGATAAAATACTTATATATGAAATTTCATCAACCTAGCTGTAACGGTACTCAAGTTATCGTGTTTACACACAGGCACACACACACAGACAGACAGACAGACACACAGACATACGGACAAGATTGCAAAATTATGTTTTTCCGTATCAGTGAGGTGTAAAACGTCGAGATTTGTAAAAATCTCGATTTTTTTTTTTGCACGATTACAAGACTTTCTCTATACTTCATATATCCGAGAAAGTAAAAAAACGTGTTTTTAAAAAAACAGAAGATGTATCATAATAAACATTAGTAAGGTCTGTTTGTGAGGGGGGGGGGGGGGCTCTGGTTCTTTGTTTATAACTTTCTACCAAGCACACAATTCCCTGTCACAACAAAGTTAACTGTCACACCAGAATTCCCTGTCACAAAACAGTTACCTGTCACAAAACAGTTACCTGTCACAAAACAGTTACCTGTCACAAAACAGTTACCTGTCACAAAACAGTTACCTGTCACAAAACAGTTACCTGTCACAAAACAGTTACCTGTCACAAAACAGTTACCTGTCACAAAACAGTTACCTGTCACAAAACAGTTACCTGTCACAAAACAGTTACCTGTCACAAAACAGTTACCTGTCACAAAACAGTTACCTGTCACAAAACAGTTACCTGTCACAAAACAGTTACCTGTCACAAAACAGTTACCTGTCACAAAACAGTTACCTGTCACAAAACAGTTACCTGTCACAAAACAGTTACCTGTCACAAAACAGTTACCTGTCACAAAACAGTTACCTGTCACAAAACAGTTACCTGTCACAAAACAGTTAACTGTCACACCACTATTCCCCCGGTACAACCCCCCCCCCCCCCCCAGCCTTCTCACCTGAGCCAGCATCTCCCCTGTGATATCTGGTGACGTCACTTTCTCAAACGGTTTGACCCGCGCCATGATGGGGTCCCAATGGCGGGCCCACATCTCGCCTAGTCAGGGGATAATTGCAAAACATACGATTGTGTACATGGATTGTGTACATGGATTGTGTACCTAAGATATGATTGTGTACATGGATTGTGTACATGGATTGTGTACCTAAGATATGATTGTGTACCTAAGATATGATTGTGTACCTCAGATATGATTGTGTACCTAGGATATGATTGCGTACCTAAGATGTGATTGTGTACCTAGGATATGATCGTGATACAAATTATGATTGTGTACGTAAGATATCATTGTGTACCTAGGATATGATTGTGATACAAGATATGATTGTATGCCTAAGAAATGATTGTGTACCTTGGATAGGATTCTGTACCTAAGATATGATTGTATACCTAATATATGATTGTGTACCTAATATATGATTGAGTACCTAAGATATGATTGTGTACCTGAATTGTGTACCTAAGATATGATTGTGTACCTAAGATATGATTGTGTACCTAAGATATGATTGTGTACCTAAGATATGATTGTGTACCTAAAAGCTGTGCAGGAATATGTCCTGAGGCGGGAAACTTCTCCTCCCCATAAATGACCTTGAGATGTCTGCGCACATGCGCGTGTAGCTGCTCATACAGAGGTCGGACCTGGGCGAACAGATTAGCCACGTCTGCTTCAAAGCTCTCACTCTCATAGCTGGACCTCCACGCCTCCCCCGCGTCGGTGTATCCTGGGTCATGTGACACGTATTTATAGATTAGATGTGGTAGGTTATGTGTTCTTAAAATACTTTAATTAGTGAGGTTCTTAGTAAAATTGGGATAATTCAAATGTGGATATTATATTGTATGGTTGACAACCTGTAGTCTTAAATACCTTAGATGACAACTCACGTTAAATCTTAAACACATCAGATGGCCAGCACACCTGAAATGGCCAACACACCTTAGATGGCCAACACACCTGAGGTGGCCAACACACCTGAGATGGCCAACACACCTGAGATGGCCAACACACCTGAGGTGGCCAACACACCTGAGATGGCCAACACACCTGAGATGGCCAACACACCTGAGATGGCCAACACACCTAAGATGGCCAACACACCTGAGCTGGCCAACACCTGAGATGGCCAACAAATCTGAGATGGCCAACACCTGAGATGGCCAACACCATAGATGGCCAACACCTGAGATGGCCAACACACCTGAGATGGCCAACACACCTGAGATGGCCAACACACCTTAGATGGCCAACACCTGACAAGTGTATGACACCTAAGATGGCCAACACACCTGAGATGGCCAACACACCTTAGATGGCCAACACACCTTAGATGGCCAACACACCTTAGATGGCCAACACAACTGGGATGGCCAACACACCTTAGCTGGCCAACACACCTGAGATGGCCAACACACCTAAGATGGCCAACACACCTGAGCTGGCCAACACCTGAGATGGCCAACAAATCTGAGATGGCCAACACCTGAGATGGCCAACACCATAGATGGCCAACACCTGAGATGGCCAACACACCTGAGATGGCCAACACACCTGAGATGGCCAACACACCTTAGATGGCCAACACCTGACAAGTGTATGACACCTAAGATGGCCAACACACCTGAGATGGCCAACACACCTGAGATGGCCAACACACCTGAGATGGCCAACACACCTTAGATGGCCAACACCTGACAAGTGTATGACACCTAAGATGGCCAACACACCTGAGATGGCCAACACACCTGAGATGGCCAACACACCTGAGATGGCCAACACACCTGAGATGGCCAACACACCTGAGATGGCCAACACACCTGAGATGGCCAACACACCTGAGATGGCCAACACACCTTAGATGGCCAACACCTGACAAGTGTATGACACCTAAGATGGCCAACACACCTGAGATGGCCAACACACCTGAGATGGCCAACACACCTGAGCTGGCCAACACACCTGAGATGGCCGACACACCTGAGATGGCCAACACACCTTAGATGGCCAACACACCTTAGCTGGCCAACACAACTGGGATGGCCAACACACCTTAGCTGGCCAACACACCTGAGATGGCCAACACACCTAAGATGGCCAACACACCTGAGCTGGCCAACACCTGAGATGGCCAACAAATCTGAGATGGCCAACACCTGAGATGGCCAACACCATAGATGGCCAACACCTGAGATGGCCAACACACCTGAGATGGCCAACACACCTGAGATGGCCAACACACCTTAGATGGCCAACACCTGACAAGTGTATGACACCTAAGATGGCCAACACACCTGAGATGGCCAACACACCTTAGATGGCCAACACACCTTAGATGGCCAACACACCTTAGATGGCCAACACAACTGGGATGGCCAACACACCTTAGCTGGCCAACACACCTGAGATGGCCAACACACCTAAGATGGCCAACACACCTGAGCTGGCCAACACCTGAGATGGCCAACAAATCTGAGATGGCCAACACCTGAGATGGCCAACACCATAGATGGCCAACACCTGAGATGGCCAACACACCTGAGATGGCCAACACACCTGAGATGGCCAACACACCTTAGATGGCCAACACCTGACAAGTGTATGACACCTAAGATGGCCAACACACCTGAGATGGCCAACACACCTGAGATGGCCAACACACCTGAGATGGCCAACACACCTTAGATGGCCAACACCTGACAAGTGTATGACACCTAAGATGGCCAACACACCTGAGATGGCCAACACACCTGAGATGGCCAACACACCTGAGATGGCCAACACACCTGAGATGGCCAACACACCTGAGATGGCCAACACACCTGAGATGGCCAACACACCTGAGATGGCCAACACACCTGGGATGGCCAACACCTGAGATGGCCAACACACCTGAGATGGCCAACCAACCTACCCACCAGTCCCTGACAAACTGACCTGCCATCCTATACGCTTCATTGAGCAGCGTGACGTACTCAGTAAAGAGCGGCTTGACCCTGGGGCCGACAGCCTCCCTCCAGCCCAGCCAGACGGCCGTCAGTCTGTCGTAGTCCATCGACTCGGCCATCACCTGGGACATGTCTAAACACAACACGTGAACACGTCAAGAATAAAACGTAAACATTAACACGTGACCATGAGAACAAAACGTAAACATAAACACGTGACCAGAAGAACAAAACGTAAACATAAACACGTGACCATAAGAATAAAACGTAAACATTAACACGTGACCATAAGAAAAAAAACGTAAACATGAACGCGTGGCCATAAGAAGAACAAAACGTAAACATGAACACGTGACCATAAGAAGAACAAAACGTAAACATTAACACGTGACCATAAGAAGAACAAAACGTAAACATTAACACGTGACCATAAGAACAAAACGTAAACATGAACACGTGACCATAAGAACAAAACGTAAACATGAACATGTGACCATAAGAAGAACAAAACGTAAACATGAACACGTGACTATGAGAAAAACCAAGCGTAAACATTAAAACGGTATTATTTTGTGAACCAAACATAAACAAGAACACGTGACCATTTTGGGCACCAAACGTAAACAAGAACACGTGACCATTTTGGGCACCAAACGTGACAGGTACAACACTGGTCACGATTTTTTTCACGGCACTAAATATTCTCAGCTCTACTTCACCTGCGCCAACTCATCTCGATGACCCGGACTCACCAGGATCAAGGTCCATGTAGCCTCTACCGTTGAAGTAAACTTTTGTCGTGGAATGGATGGCCAGCATCTCAGATTCGATTTCCTTCAGCTGTGGGAGAAACATTTGTCTGGTTACATTTCCGGAGGTCATTTTAGCAAAACTTAACCATGATAAAGATACTTTTCCGTGAGGTTATTTTAGAGAAACTAAACCAAGATCAAGATACATTTCCGTTGAAAATTTCAGACAAAAACTAAACCAAGATCAAGATACATTTCCGTTGAAAATTTCAGAAAAAAACTAAACCAAGATCAAGATACATTTCCGTTGAAAATTTAAAAAAAAAACTAAACCAAAAGCTATGTTGCCGTTTGCTTGACCTTCAGTAACCATGGGGAAACAAAGCGAGGTCAATTCTGTCAATTCAAAGATGTTTGCTAAATGTTATTTAAATGCTGCCGTGGCGTGTCTAGGGGGTGTGAAGGGGGTTTGTCGCCCCGGGTCATGTCCACCATTAAGTAAAATGGCAGAAATACGAATGTTTATATTCTGTTCTTCACTTATAATCGGCCTATAACACATTATGTAGAATTTACATTTTGAATTGATTTTTTAAAAACTGTGTAACAAGGTACTGACGTAGTACCTCAGTGTACTAAAGTATATTTTCAAAACTGTTCTCTAAAGATTTTATTTCCTATCGACTACTTAAGATTTGATAAATATCAGTAGGTAAACTTAACGAAGGTATGTTTGATATAGTTCAACACTTCTCGATCTTACCCTTGCCCCACATAATTTTGGTGGGGTGTTCTTGAACCGGGGCTACACCTAACTTTGTTAAGTGGACTTAACAAAGAACTAAACCTACCAATTGTTTAGGTGTTAGCCTACTTAACTTAGGCCAGTAATAAACCTAACACTTGAACTATTAGAAGACATATTGAACAAGCCACGTGCTGTGGAACGATGTAAACTTCGTGACAGAAGAGTGCTCCAACAGCTGGGGACGGCACACTTGAACATTGTGTGGGAAAGATAAAAAAAAAATAAGGTTTGTGGGGGGGGGAGGGGGATAAGACGAAAAGTGGGGGGTATCCGTGGTGAGATAACGGATATTGGTCGTAGAATGGGGGTGGGGGATGAGACGGTGCACTTATTTGAATAGAAGAGTGTGGGGGGTAGGATGGATAATATGAGTTCTGGGGAAGATTGGACTTGGGGGGGGGGGGTAACTTTCTGTTCCATTGAGTTGAGTTAGTTAATGTTATATTTTACCAAGCCGCTAATCTAATGACATCAGATGTGTATCTATGTTATCAAACCGGACGTTAGCCCGAAAGACACTTGTCCGAATGTAGTTTACCCATATGTCGTTTTTAAGAATGGACATTTGCCCAAATACGACAAATAACAAGTTCCATCGCAGCTATAAAGAACTGGGGTTCGATACTAGAATATTCGGTTCAGGGGCAGTTTCTTCCAGACTTTTTTCTCCAGGGGGAGGTGCACATGAAATTTTCAGGGGGGGGGGGACGACTAAAATTTTCAGGGCCGAAGAGCTCTGGGCTTAATCTAGGACAACGATTCCTGAAGTCTACGACACAACCGACTTGGTCGGCACCTACCCTGTTGTACTTGGTCATGTCGGTCAGTGCCGCCTCCCCCAGCTGACCAATGGCCGAGATCTGACGGGCCAGGCTGCTGTTGCTGATCTGGCTGAGGTTGAAGGTGATGGCGTTGTCGTGCATGTGTTGGTAAAATATCGCGTTTTCCAGGCTGACGTTTCTCTGTTCGGGCAAGGTGAATGAATGTGTACATTAGGCAAGGTGAATGAATGTGTACATCAGGCAAGGTGAAGGAATGTGTACATTAGGCAAAGTAAATTATGTGTACATTAGGCAAGATGAAGGAATGTGTACATTAGGCAAGGTGAAGGAAAGTGTACATCAGGCAAGGTGAATGAATATGTACATCAGGCAAGGTGAAGGAATGTGTACATTAGGCAAGGTGAAGGAATGTGTACATTATGAAAGGTGAAGGAATGTGTACATTAGGCAAGGTGAAGGAATGTGTACATTAGGCAAGGTGAAGGAATGTGTACATCAGGAAAGGTGAAGGAATGTGAGTACAAATTGTGAGTACAGAATATACATGTTCATAAACCGACCTAATTCGTGTACCTTAAAATTCTAACCCTAATTCGACTGGAAAAAAACGTGTTTCAAACAATCATATTCTGTCCAGTTCAGCACCTGAAAATTCCTGAACACAGTTTAATAACAATCATCATCATGATTTCCCTTTTGTGCCCAAGGTACATGGGGCAAATGAAGTAGAGCTAATCGGCTTCACTGAGTTCCATATATGATGGGATAGAGGGGTCAGCACTAAGCCCATCCCGCCTTTGTTTCCCTAACGTTGCTGATTCGAACTCGAGACTCTCGGATAAGTAGTCTAGCTCTCAACCGCTGAGCCACGCTATCCCAGTTAATACTAATAATTCACTTAATAATCTACCGACTCGACCACGCCAACCCCCGTACCCACTTATAATCTCATTTATCTAAAGTATCTTTTTTATAACAACTATATTCAAAATATTAATTGAGTTGTCTCCTTTAATAAAGGGATATTACCAATAAATTCAAGCTATTATTATTAAATTTACAGTAACTCTTGGATTAGCCGTTACCTCAAACTGGCTGTTGTAGTCTGTGATGTTGGTCTCCATGTTCCAACTGGCTTGTGATGCCAGATTTAGACGCCTCAGGGCCTCGTCCTCGTAGCTCTTCAGGAACTCTTTCACCAGCTCGTCCACTGTTTTTTCAGCGGCGTTGACTGTGTCCGTGGTAGTGGGGGTAACGGTGGTGGTGGTGGTGGTTTTCTTGGTGTGGCCAACAACGTGGGTCATCGCTAGGGTCAGGATGACCCACGCTAGAAGTAGGACGCTGGACTTCCTCATGATTCAGCTGTATGTCAGTTAATGAGGTTAAATTCATCAATTCTCATTGTTGTTATGTACTGAGGTGGGAAGGGCAGGGCTTCAACTTCTCATTCTTGTTATGTATTTAGAGAGGGAGGGGGGTGTCGGGCTTCAACTGTACGTCAGTTAATTAGATTAAATTCATCAATTCTCATTGTTGTTATGTAATGAGGTAGGGGGTCGGGCTTCAACTGTACGTCAGTTAATTAGATTAAATTCATCAATTCTCATTGTTGTTATGTAATGAGGTGGGGGAGAAGGGGGGACAAATAGTTGCAGCTAGAGGATTTGGAGGGGCGCTAAATGGGATAATAGCACCAATTATGTGATAGCTTGAAGACGTACGGAGATTGTGATAAAAAATTGTGATTGTGATTGTTGTAAGTGTCAAAGATTAATAAGCGTTAGTGGATAGGGCGCCACATGGTGGAGTGGATAGGGCGCCACATGGTGGAGTGGATAGGGCGCCACATGGCGGATCGAACCATTTTACATTGCCTTCTGTTAAACGCAACCCTTATGGAGTCATCAATATTTAAAACAGTTCTGTAGCAGATATTTTATAACCAATACATAATTATCTTGGCATGAGTTATAAGTTGAATCCCAATTAAAAATTACGTAATTAGTCAAACTGGGCTTTCAAATTTTATAAGAATATCGAAACTAAAACTCTGATTGCTTAGAAATAAAAACAGGCTTATAAAGTATAAAAATATCCTTTAGAACAGACATTACTATGAACTAAAGATAACTCTTTTTTTTTTATCTCCCTATGAAAGATTTCTGCGTCCGCACAAGTTCCAGCCTCCTTTATTTTTCCCATTTTTAATCAGGTTCAGGTAAGCGCTGAATACAGTTGGAATACTCCAGCAAACTCAAAGATGTGAACTAACTCAAGACGTTCGATTTAGTGAGTCGAGCGCTCGGCCACATCCCTCCAACAGATGTTGCGTAGTCAGAAAAATTTCTCGGCAAGTATGTATCCCTTAAACATTGCGTAATTAACGATGTTCGTGTGTCTTTCAAACACAATTTGCAACAAATAGCTGAACAAAATGTAACGTTCTACATCTATTTCAAGCCTTAGAGAAACGTACCTGACTCCACTAGAAGTTCCATGAGGGGCGAATGACTGACTTGATAGATTTGTGTAACTGGGGGCCGGATAAGATTGCTGCATCTGAAGAAAAAAAGGACCACAGCACACCATTGTGAGATGTAGTTCAAGTGGGTGCAGGGGTGTGGACATGTTGAATTGTTGGGTGGGAGGGGCCAATACAATGTGAGAATCATATAAGTCTAATCACTCCCCACCCGCCCGTGGCGACCGATATATATATATATATATATATATATATATATATATATATATATATATATATATATATATATATATATATATATATATATATATATATATATATATATATATATATATATATATATATATATATATATATATATATATATATATGTGTGTGTGTGTGTGTGTGGGTGGGTGGGTGGGTGGGTGGGTGTCTATATTTATATATATATATATATGTGTGTGTCTATATATATATATATATATATATATGTCATATTTCTTTTTTTTAATACTCATAGATCCAATACAAATATTTGGTTCATTTTATTTCCTTGTTTAACTATTGGGTAATGTCCTATTGTTTAACATTTGGGTAATGTCCTATTGTTTAACTGTTGGGTAATGTCCTAATTTTTAACTATTGAGTAATGTCCTATTGTTTAACTATTGGGTAATGTCCCAGATCCTATTGTTTGTGTTTTGTGTTACGATAATGTTTAATCCCTTTCAACAACTAATTAACTATCATATAATTAGACACATTACGGGGTTAAAAAATATGACATCTTGCTTGTTTGTTACCCGCGTATTATGTGCGCCCACAACATGGGGATAAACTTCGCTTTAATACATTACAGTGACGTGGTACTTATACAGCCATCGTTTTTTTTCACTGGTTTCAGTCTAGTTTGTAGATTACAATAAGATAAAGTGCCATGTTTTCTAGAATGTAATAAAACGCATGTACAGAGGTGTGTCCAAGGGTTGAGGGAGGGGGGGGGCATGCACAACCTGAAGATATTTTTAGAGCAGTTGCGCATTTGTTTTGGAAAATAAAAATGAACTCAAGCTAGCAAGAAGAGCGGTGTGTAATCAAATTCACTAAAGCTAGCAAGTACAGCGGTATGTAATCAAATGCACTAAAGCTAGCAAGTACAGCGGTGTGTAATCAAATGCACTAAAGCTAGCAAGTACAGCGGTGTGTAATCAAATGTACTAAAGCTAGCAAGTACAGCGGTGTGTAATCAAATGCACTAAAGCTAGCAAGAAGAGCGATATGTAATCAAATGCACTAAAGCTAGCAAGAAGAGCGATATGTAATCAAATGCACTAAAGCTAGCAAGTAGAGCGATATGTAATCAAATGCACTAAAGCTAGCAAGTAGAGCGATATGTAATCAAATGCACTAAAGCTAGCAAGTACAGCGGTGTGTAATCAAATGCACTAAAGCTAGCAAGTAGAGAGATATGTAATCAAATGCACTAAAGCTAGCAAGTAGAGAGATATGTAATCAAATGCACTAAAGCTAGCAAGTAGAGCGGTATGTAATCAAATGCACTAAAGCTAGCAAGTACAGCGGTGTGTAATCAAATGCACTAAAGCTAGCAAGTAGAGAGATATGTAATCAAATGCACTAAAGCTAGCAAGTAGAGAGATATGTAATCAAATGCACTAAAGCTAGCAAGTAGAGAGATATGTAATCAAATGCACTAAAGCTAGCAAGTAGAGCGATATGTAATGAAATGCACTAAAGCTAGCAAGTAGAGCGGTATGTAATCAAATGCACTAAAGCTAGCAAGTACAGCGGTGTGTAATCAAATGCACTAAAGCTAGCAAGTAGAGAGATATGTAATCAAATGCACTAAAGCTAGCAAGTAGAGCGATATGTAATCAAATGCACTAAAGCTAGCAAGTACAGCGGTATGAATTCAAATGCACTAAAGCTAGCAAGGAGAGCGATATGTAATCAAATGCACTAAAGCTAGCAAGTAGAGCGATATGTAATCAAATGCACTAAAGCTAGCAAGTAGAGCGATATGTAATCAAATGCACTAAAGCTAGCAAGTAGAGCGATATGTAATCAAATGCACTAAAGCTAGCAAGTAGAGCGATATGTAATCAAATAAATGTAAATGTAATGGATGAAACTGTACTCCTCTATTGGCTGATAAAGGCGCGAATCTTGTGTCTGCGTATGTACTCAACTGTTAGTTGAGTGGTTAGGGCCCCTCGTCATGGACTCTGCGACGATTACAAGCAATTTTTATTACACCATGATAGTAGGCTATATATAATTCAACTAATTTTTTTGTTTCTGCGACTGTCGATGTCCCGGGTAAAAATTAACACTTTGTAGTACGATATGAATGAGAATTTTACATAAAGGATATTGATAAAGGTAAATCAGCACAAAAATCTTGATATATATGTATATGTATATGTATATATATATATATATATATATATATATATATATATGTGACTAGGGTAGGCCTAGCCACTAGTTACAAATCTGATAACGAACGATAAGCCGAGACGCAGTATTACAGTCTGATGCAACATAGCAGGTGGCTTATTGGATCGGACTGATAACAATCTCAAAGCCAACGCGTGCTATTTTGGGAAACGGTACGAGGGGATTCAGACAGCCTGTCAACTTTGATTGATAGGATGCAGATGTTATTTCACGGACTGTACGTTAGAACTGCGCAACTAGTGGTCGGAGACATCGAGTACAAGTATCGATTACGGAGGAATACAAGTACGAAGACGAGTACGGATACAAGGGATAAATAGGAGGGGACGGCTGAACTCGTTCTCTTCCCTCTTCATCGCTCGCTTTAGATCAGTCAGTCTGTGTGACATATCAAGTTGGTTATATTGTGTTAAGAAGGACAATAGACATGTGGATTCAGTTATATGAAGCCTAGTGAGGACTGTTAGGGGTCAGTTGATTCAGACTATTATTGTGAAACATTCCTGTTGATTCATTGTGTTATATTGAAGCATTTCTTGATTCATGTAATAAAAGGATCAATAGCGAACCTGCATCTTCGAGTCTTTCTACTGTAGTCGATGTTGTGTAGCATGAGTGGTTCAACTCGTTACAATTGGCGTTGTCGGGCAGGATAGACTCGGGGAAGGTCACATTTGGCGCTGCGAGCAGGGTGAATTCAACTAGACTTGCCGGTTGAGGCACCCATAGTCAACCTTGTGCATAACTGTGTTTTGTGTGTATGTGAATTCGGACATTCAGGAACTGTGAAAATTGAGGAAAATTTTTTCATACACACACGGTAAGAAAGAACTCTTTTGTTTTACTTACGGGATAAAATGTCTACTCTGGACGAGAAGCTGACCCATATAGTGGTCCTACCCAGAGAGTCCCACATTAACAAATTTTACGGGGACGGGGATCCAACTTTAACCAACAGGTTCAGTGAAGAGGTCAAAGCGGCCTGGGCCTCAAGATATATGTCACCAGAGGAAAGATTAAGACTGCTGATGGGAAGTATAGGAGAGACGGTCAGGGCAGAGGTAAAATGCCACGATAAAACCACCCAATCAGATCCAGATAAGGTGCTGGATCTGATTATGGAGACCTTTGGGGAGAGACGGTCGGGATCGCAACTGCTGGCAGGGTTCGTAGGCTTAAGGCAGAGAATGGCGGAGAGTGTGATGGAGTACTCACACCGGATGAACAGGGCCTTTGATTCGGTAAAGGTCAAAACACCTGACATTGATGTGCGCCTACTGAGGGACCATTTCATTGAGGGGCTGGCAACCCCGATCCTAAGAAGAGAGTTGAAAGAGGAGGTCCACAAAGACCCGCAGTTGACCTTCCTTCAGGTCAGGAACTCAGCGATCCGCAGGTCCGAGGATGAGGACCAATCGAACTGTTCGGTGGACAAAGTCTCGGTGCCTGAACAGAGACAATCCCCACCCACAGGGGCCGACACGATGGAGACCATGATGGCTCAACTGTTGGCCCACCTGGTTAAGGTTGACCAACGATTGGAGAGGTTAGAGAGCAGGTCAACAGCTGAGAATCAGGGCAAAAACGGGACAAAACAGAGACGGGTTGGACGGCCGCGTCCTGCCAAGCCATCACTCCAATGGACGGCCGACGGTCGACCAATTTGCTTGTCCTGTTCACAACCCGGACATATGGCACGGTACTGTCCGGTGAAACGATCGCCCTCTGTACGGCAGGTCAAGGCTACAGAGCGGCGAGGTAATGACTTAGTAAACAAAATGACAAAGAAACACAGTAAGGAGAAAAAGAAAGGCAAAACACAACTAATGGAAAAAATGAACTGTGAAATGAACTGGGATGTTGAAAAGTTTCAAGTGAACAATTCGTTGGTAGAGAAAAATGATGATAAGAAGAAAATTGGTAGACTTAATAAAGGAATTCAAAGTCTAACCAGGAAACTGGATAGGGAAAGGTCATGCAAATTAAAAGCACAGGAGAAATGTTCATCTTTAGAGTGTCTGTTATCGGAAGAAGTAAATAAAAATAGTAGACAACAGAACAGTGTTGGCAAACTAGAAGAAATGAAAGAGTCTCAAACAAGACTTGAAGAGAAATTATCCGATATTGAAAAAGAACTTCAAAGTACAGCAAGGCTGGGATCCATCGAACAGCGATGGGCAGCAGAATTGGCACTCGTTGACCTAGAGAGAAAACATCGCCCGGGGCGGTCCAATGTCAATGCGGACGCCTTATCAAGGAATCCTTACGAGAGACCGGGCGATGAGGAAGAAACGCTGACAGGAATATGTGAGGTCAGAGCGTCAACAGATATCCCTCATGGGGTACAAGTGATGCAAAACGGGCAGACCGGGGTGGAGCACATATCCACAGAGCCCGGAGATATGGACAGTAGTGATTTTAATTGCCTTAATCACAAAAAGATAAGAGATGCCCAGAGAACGGATAGTGGCTTACAGCCGCTGTTGAAACACGTCCAGGAACAAAAATTCCCAGGAAGAAGGGAAAGAGAACAATTTGGTCGAGAAACAAAGAAAATACTGAGTCAGTGGGACCGTCTCAGTATAGAGGATGGTGT